GTTATGGCCCACTCCACATGCTCCCTTACCTCGAATACAGTTTCTATACCATTGTAATTTGCATTGCGAGTTAGTAGAGGGCAGGGACTTCATCATGTCCCCAGGATCTAGTGTGGGGGACTGGTTCACAGCAGGTGATCAACAAATGAATTAATGAATGGCTGCACAGACACACAGATCGTCATAGTAAAAATTACTCATCAAAATACATGACACAGGCCAACCTAGGAGTGCAATTATTGCATGGGTTGGAAAGAGTGTTTGGGTTCCTTAATATAATGTCAAAGGATGATGCTCATGGGGGAGTCACGTGCTAAAGTAAAACCAAAGAACCAGTTTCATGGGTGGGAGGGGGTGGGGGTGGGGTTGCCATCCTCAGCTTAGGAGGCTGGGAGGATAGTGATGAGAGGGAAAGGCTCCAAGGTGGAATATCATGAAATGTTTAGAAGACAGATGATGAGTCTTCCTGGAGTAGAGCATTTAGTGGGAGCTAAGACTACAAGGTGAGGTCATTTTTCATAGGGCTTTTAATGTCAGTCTCACTGGTTAGAACTTCATTTTAAAGTCAGGGAAAGTGCCCTGACCGGTGTGGCTCAACTGATTGTGCATCATCCTGCAAAGCAAAAGGTCATAGGTTCGATTCCCGGTCCAGGCACATGCCCGGTTTGCAGCCTGGTCCCTAACTGGGGCCTGGTCCCTGGTTGGGGCACATGTGAGAGGCGGCTGATCCATGTTTCTCTTGCATGCTGATGTTCCTCTCCCTCTTTCTTCCCTCTTTCCCCTCTCTCTAAAAATACATAAATAAAATCTTTAAAAAACTAAAGACAGGGAAAGCCACTGGATGTTTCTGAGTAGGTTAGAACCAGGATGAGAGTGTTGTTGTAAAAAGATTAATCTGGTTTCAGTGTACACAGCAGGCACTCAAATATTTGTTGTGTGAGTGGACTCTGGCACGGCACCTTGACCAAGTCCTTTAGTGGAGACAGGAGGAGCCCTCAGGGGCTAGCTGTCCAGTTGGAAAGTGAGATGTGAACACTCTAATCTGTGCTCCCCACTGGCCTAGATTAACATTTTTTCTCTCAACCTTTTAAAATCACTGGGCCATTCTCCCAGGGGAAAAAATAAATTTCTTTTTAAGGAATAAGATTTTGTCTGGTAGGGTTGAGCTTTGGAAGACCACAAACCATTGTGACATTGTAACTGGAAAAGACACCAGCGTTCAGGCTGCCTGTCACTACCAAATCCAATAAACAATGACAGTGATTGAGTCTTTTATAGGCACTTTATTCAGATGGCCAGTGATCAGAGAAGATGGCGGGTTTATACCCTAACAAACCCTCTTACTCTTTCTTTCCCGGCCAGATCTTTTATAAGGGGGTTGGGGGAGGGCAAACAAGGTGTCAGCGAAAGCCTTTGAACTTCAACAGTTGCCTCCAAGGCGGGAAGGGTAGTCCTTTGCTTCTTCCTGGTACAGATGTCTCCAGGCAAGGTAATCTCCAGCCACTGCCCCAGGAGGTCAGCTGCTTATTCTTAGGCGCCAGGATGGGCCTTATCTGTAGTTACTGAAACAAAAACTTAACATACACATTACTTGCTAGATTTATGACTATTTACCTTAAGCTAAATTTTCCCAAGTCTTAAGCCCCTATCAACATGTCAGGGGGTTTTTTTGCCTCTCCAGACCAGTTTTGCCCCCTCAGTGGTAACATCAGCCCCACTGAGCTGAGGATGTGCTTACCAGACACCGTGGGAGACAGGCAAGGCAACAGGGGGACTTGATGTCTGGGCTTTGATTTCCTCTGTAACTCTTTCTGTATCTGCAGAGGGTGGATTCCCTCCAGCTCTGAAATTCTGCTTTGAAGCTGGGCCATGCCTTCAGGGAACTTACAATCCATTTAGGGCAATAAGATGGACATTAAAGAGTGGAAGAAAGGCAGACAATACTAAGAGCTGGTTGTCTTAAAAAGAACTCTGGTTAAACACAGTGATATTTAAATTTAAATTAGTTTTGCCAGACTACCCCCTACTCCTCAAAGCATGAGCATCTTGGTCTTTATAACAGTAAGCAGAAGAACAAAGGCAATGCCAGCTTCTTGAGGAGAGATAGTTTTCTGATGGGAAGTTATTCCAAAATACAAAGGCACATGTTTTTCCAGTGGGTTCTACTGAAGCAACTTCAGGCACAGGGCACCAGGCCCCCAGAGGGTAGAGCCCCCGGGTGAGCCAGAGTCCTCACTCACACACCTGTGAGCGTTCAGAGGCGGCCTGTCCTGGTGGAGCTTCACTTCCCCTGCTGTCCCATTTGCATGGATTCTCATGCTCTCAATGATGTGGCCTCTACTCACTCCCCAAACTTCCCATCTTACTGCTACGTGTTGCTGCTGTTGTTTCATCCTCCAGCCCACTGCCAAGGCTACATACACGCTGTGAGGGCAAGGCCGGGACCATGTTGGTCACATCTGTTTAGTGATAGAAACTGACCAGGCATAGAATTGATTTCTTGGCATCAATGCCTGCTGACATTAAAGTTTAACTTACATTTCTTCTTTTTATCCTCTCTCTGACTCCTGTTACTCAAAGCCTGGCTCAATCACCTCTTCCAGGAAGCCCCCCTCCCCAGATGACCCAAAGGCACTGCAGTTATTGTGCCTTCCTCCAGGACACATCCTTGGTTAGTAATTGTCGCTTCATGCCCCCAACTAGATGGAAAGTCTTTGGTTACAGGACCACACGCTGTTCTGATGCTCCACAACCCTGGTGCAGCACCTCACAAACAGCGGCTGGGCCGGTTGGCAGGTAGACTGCCAACAGCTACAAGTATCAGAGCCTGACCTAACCTGGCTTACAGAATTAGGAAGGTTATTGGCTTACCCATGGAAATTTCACAGGAAGAGTAGGCTTCAGAGCTGGTTTATCTGGAAGTTCAATAATGCTGATGACACAGATTCCTTCCTTCCCTCTGCTCTGCCATCTGCTCTTGGTATCACCCGAAGGCCATTTGCCCGCCTTGGGCGGGGCTGGCTATCAGCAGACATGGTTGCTCCCCGTCTCCTCATTCAGGTCAAGCAGGAGGATGACAAAGGATGGCTGCTGTGGTTCTCCAGCGAGAAAACCGATTCTCAGCACCTCCAGTTAAACTCTTCTCTGTCTCATTGGCCTGAATTGCAACCTCAGCCCTTTCTTAACTAATCACTAAGTGAAGAGAACAGGAATACCTTGAGACCAACCAGGCCTTCGCCCTGAGCTGAAATGAATGTCCACCAACTCTTTTTTTCTAATCCTCACCCAAAGACATATTTATTGATTTTAGAGGGAGGGGAAGAAAGAAAGAGAGAGATGTGAGAGACATTGATTGATTGCTTCCTGCAAGCACCCCACCTGGGGATTGAACCCACAACCTCGGCATGTACCCTGACTGGGAATTGAACCTGCAGCTCTGTGGTATATGGATGACACTCCCACCAACTGAGCCACCTGGCCAGGCTCCACTAACTCTCTCTCCTTTTTCTTTTGGTTTGTTTTTTTGGTATATTGTCAGTGTTTAAATTTAGTACATAACTTTAACAGAAATCACTCCTAAATGCAAAGTGATCATACTGTTCATGAGGTAATTAGGTTTAACAAAAATATAATAATCCAGCAACCAGATCCAGAAATAAGACACAAGTTTAAAGTAGTATGAAAAGTATGTTTTTCTCAAAGTTTTGGGGGTATGTATGAAATTTTATGTATGTGGCAGATCGTTAGAGTAACAGCCCCCAAATCGCATGCTCATGCCCTTGAGTCCTACTCTCCCAAATTGACCTTGACTCGCTTTGCCCAACAAGAACAGCAGAAGCTCAAAAAGTCCTGGCATTTTGGGGCTTCCCCTCTGGTAGGTGGGGAAGCCAGGCAAGCCTGCTGGGGAGGTAGGTACAGTGCCTCCAACTCTCTTGCGGTTACTCAGTGGGAAAGAGAGAGAAAAACGAAGTCCATCACATTTTCTAAAGATACTTTTTCACTGGTAACATTTATTGGCTACATCTCTGAGAAACCTGATTAACGGCAGTTAGAATAGCCTTTCCCTAAAGAGTTGTTAAACTTTGTTTTAGAAATCTGAGAATGCAGTGACAACATAAGACAATTGAGTTTATTCCATATTTACCTTGACATTCTCTTGAAGGCATGTGATGTCAGTTACTATGTGAGTGGTCTAAAAAATCTCAAAGACAAAGGGCCCCTAAGGACCATAGGGGCCTGTGGGACCCAGCACTCCCTAAATTGGAGTGAAAACCAGCCATCAGACAGGTGGGTTTACTAGCTCAGCTGCAGCTCACAGGTAAGAATGAATCAACTTCATTTGTGTGTGTGTGTGTTTACATTTCAGCAAGGAACACCATGGAGAACATCTTTTTTGCAAACAAGTTCCTCAGCATATTTTTTGTTCACTGAATTGCTGTGGGCAGTGGTTTTGACTCCTGCCCCCACCTTTCCTGCAGACAGGTTGCAATCTAGGGTGAAAACTCTCTTGGGCAATATACTGTTGCACGCAGTTTGGCTGTACTCAGGTATGCAATCTGGCAAGTGTGTCTGCCCTTTCCTGAACCAGCTGCAGTTTTTGGACACATGGTTCCAGACTCCTGAACTGGGGAAGCTTTGCACCCATTTGCACAGATGGGCACCAAGTCACAGATCTGGGAAGATGAGAGGTCCTCTGATTCATCTTTCATCTGGAAAATTACACTGAAGCCTTTCCAGAAAGGCCCTTTAAAACTTAATTTTGAGGGGGAAAAACCCAGATTGGGTAATACATCCCAGGGCCCCATCTGGTCTTTGTCAATGGGGTCTCATTTTAATGGTTACCATGCCAGCAAGGGGTTGGACCCGATCATCAGATTCCTTGTCTGTGAAATGAGCAGGCTTAACGCAGTGTTATTACAAGAACATGAATCAAGAAGGAGACTTGATGTGGGGTGGTGAGGATGCAATACCATACACAGATGATGTATCACAGAATTGTATACCAGAAATCTGTGTAACTTTATTAACCAATGTCACCCCAATAATCCAATAAAAAAGAAACAATGTGAATCATGAACTAACACATAGTAAGGTAGTGATAATACTAACCTCCAACTCCAGTTTAAGCATCTGAGTCCTTGTTTGGATATGTGTAGTGATAACTGATAAATATGAAACACACAGTTCAATAAGCGCCACTCCAATAGCAATCATTCATTAATTTCTTTACACAAACCTCCTGTTGACCTATTGACTATTCTTTACTATGATTCAATTTAATAGAAGAAAGAGAAACTTAAAGACAAATTATGGTTTTTAAAAGGGTTATTTGTGAAGGCATATTGAGGAACATTTTTTATAGTGCAATATCATAGTACACTGAGCCAAAGTTAACTAGTGGAGAGCTTGCCAAAGCAAAAAAAAAAAAATTTTACCAAAGTCTAATTCTGGGGGGGAAAGAATGCCGTCAGTCTGTTTCAGGATTTGAGTTGATCTACTGTTAAGAGTAAAAGACCCATGCAGTGTGGCTGCTCTTCTCACCCTTAAGAGTTAGTGGCCTTTGGATAGCATTAAAGAAAGAAAACTCCTACCCTCTGAAAACACCTGCTGGCTAGACCTTGGACCAGATCGATAAGAACATAGCACTAGATTTAACAACTGTAATGCTGCCTCGAGTCTAACCAAGGTAGGTGTTAGAAGAACTGAATTGTATAATGAATTGATCTACCGAAAAAAAGTTCTCAGGTCTCTGCTTCTGCATGACACAGCTTGCTGTTAAACTAAGTAGCATCTGATCTACAATTCCATGACAAAGCCCTTTAAAGATCCCCAGACTCTGGGATGATGCTGGATTTCCTGTGTAGAGATTCCAGTGAAAAGGCCGTTGGAGAAACAGGTCTTGATTCAGGGATATGCTCCATTCTGTATTTTTCGATATATGGTGAAGCTACTTCCCAAACCTGAGAAACAAGGACAAAACCGAAATGTTGACAACATTGTTTTCGCATGCCATTAGGCATCAGCCTCACCGGAAGCCCAAACATTGTCTACACCTGACCAGACACAGAACATCTGTTTGCTTGCCTTTATTACAAGGCATCTAACACACAATCCGTGTCGATTAATCTTTGAGTACATTCAAAGCTTTTAACATACAAAGTCCAAAACTTCTCTAAAGTTACCATGAAGGTTTTCTTTCAGTGGCTTACTCTTCTGGAGCCAAACAAGCCAATAAACAAAACCCGGAGAAGTCAGTGTGGACAGAATGAAGAAAGTTGCTCGGGGATCTGACCATGTGTTTTCTAAAGTGAGTCTTGGGTCATAAAAAGTGATGGATTTCTTCTTTTGTTCTATTTCCCTGCCACGTGGGCTCCGCCCCTCAGACTTGTTACTCAAAGTGGCCCTTGGACCAGCAGCCCCTGGGACACGGCAGAATGTCAGCCCCACCCCAGACCTGCTGACCCCGAGCATTTAATATAACGAAGTCTCCAGAAGGTTCACATGCACATTTCAGCGTAGGAAGCACTGCCTCCGACCCTCGTGTGGTTTTTACCCCCACCCGCCAACCTGTTCTCAGTCAAGCACAACATCTCAAGTTAAGTCCTGTTCTTGGTTTACAGCTGCTTTTTACCTGGTTGCCCCTGACAGCCGAGGAGACTTCTTTGCCTATTCTCTGGAATCGCCTTACATGATGTATTCTTTCAAAAACTAACCTCTTTGGAAAGGTATCTGCACCCCCACATTCTTTGCCACTATTTACAACAGCCAAAGCATGAAAGCAAGCTAAGTGTCCATTGATGAATGTATAGAGAAACCAAGAAAATGTGATATATATACACATGTATGAATATTATTCAGCTTTTTAAGAAAAAGGAAATCTAGCCATTTGTGAAAGTATGGATGGACATTGAAGGCATTATGCTAAGTGAAATAAGTCCAAGACAAATACTGGCTTATCTTACTTATGTGTGAATCTAAAATAAAATAAAATAAAATACACCAAACTCACAGATACAGAGAACAGACTGATGGTTGCTAGAGGGGGGAAGTAGAGGGAAGTGAAATGGGTCAAGTAGTGAAAAGGTACAAACTTCCACTTATAATATAAATGAGCATGGGACACAGTGCACAACACAGCGACTATAGCTAATAATGCCGCATTGTACATTTGAGAGTTGCTAAGGGAGCAGATCTTAAAAGTTCTCATAGCAAGAAAAAATAATTTGCAACAATGTATGGTGATGGATGTTAACTACACTTGCCATGATCATTTTGCAATATATACAAATACTGAATAATTACCTTGCCCACCTGAAACTAATATAGTGTTTTGTGCCAATTGTATTTCAATTTAAAAAAAAAAAGGCTAACCTCTCACACACTCTGCACTGGCACCAAAGTTGGCAGCAGGCGAGGGGCTCTGCTCAGAGGGTGCAGGGCACACTTGAAAATGGCAGGTGTGAAGGTCAAAGGGAAAAACTGTTCCCCAAGAGCAGAGCAATGATTTCAGGGGAAATCAAGCAACTCTGGGGAACATGATACCCACAAATTAGTAAAAATGACTTCAAGAGCTTTAAAATATAGACTTAAAATGAGTCAGCATGCTAGGCAATTGTCTCTCTCAGACAAGCCTGTAGTCGGTGTGGCTGGGGGAAATCAGCCGTAAAGGGAACCTGTGCCACCCAGGGTGATGGGCAGGACGCACCAGAGCACTAGGCAGCCCCATGGCCCTTTAAGCAAAACCTTGGGACTTTGTTTTCTCCTCTGATCTATGCAGGCGTGGGACCAGGTGGTGGTGGTGGTGGATGCATTATAGAAAGAGAAAGTGCTTTTGAATGAAAAAGTACATTTTTGGTGAAGGGGATCCACAAAACTTTCATTTTCTCCCCATGCATACTTGTTCCAAAATCCATTTAAAATGTATTTCTGCCTCCAATCCTCAGGTATTCAATGTTTGGGTATTCAACATGGGACACCTAAGATAGCTTTTAGTGGTGGCCTTGCAAATTGCCCAAGTACCTTTTTGTTCGTTTCCAAGAAATAGCTAGAAAACAGAAGAATGAGACAATGCATCTCCAAGACCCACTCCACTTTACTTTCCCATCTGACCCCAAACAAAGAAATCAGCCAAGTAGGCCGCTTGCCTTTTGCTCTACAAGCAGCCTGTGCACTGCCTCGATGTCCGGAGCCATGAATCGATCTTTTATCCAGGGCCTGCAGAGAAGGCAAGTCAAATCGTCAGGCGAGCAGCAATAGGGCCAGGGTTCCCAGTTCTGAAATGGCGTCACATCCCGGGGCCTGTGTGACTTCACCTTACAACAGAGCGCACCAGGTCGTAGACCTTCTCCAGGGGAGTGGTGGTCTTCAGGGGGCGCAGGAACTCGATGCCCTGGCAGGCTGCCAGGAGCTCGATGGCCAGCACTGAAACGAGACGGGGGAGGGGCGGCTGGTTAAGGCCTGACCTCGGCTGGAGGGCTGCGAACCACACGGACGTGGACGGTGAGAAGCGGGAAAAATCCAGGGAAATGTCTTGCTTTTCCCTTTCTCACCTCATTCAATCGAGATGGAAAAATCTGTAAATTTCCACATGTTTTTAGCCTTGCTCATCCCTTTAGCCTGAAACACCTGCACACAGAACCTCATCCAAGGATCGCGGAAGCCGGGAAGGAATGAGCGGACCCGTCTTGGGTTGCCCTGGGCCTGATCTGCAGGGTGGGGCCAAGGTAGGTTCTCCGTGTTCGGGTGGAAACTGGCACAGTGATTCATAGATAATAACATGAGAGTAAACTCTGTGTTTCACATGTTCACAACTGTAAACCGACTTTACCCCCACTTTGCATAACGTCCCTTTCGAGCCTTCCAGCTCGAAGGCTCGCACGTCCCCTAAAATGGGAATTCTGGAAATCGGTACTTGAATGTCTTGTGCCATCATCTCAATGCAGGTCAGAGCAATTTGCTTTATGCCCACACCTCTTCCCTTACAAAGCGAATCTTGCACCTCGCCACCCAATCAGCTGGCCCTACTTGTTGTTCAGGTCTTATTCCTTCAGACACAGTTACGTTCTCCTTGAACTCTGTTATTTACTCAGAATTTTGGTAAGTGCTGCTAAGAGTGGCCACGTTGTTGTCCAATGTCTGCTTCTCTGGCTAGACTCTGATTTCCCAGCGGGCAGAGAGAACGACCGTCTCATTCACTGTTTAATCCAGGCAGAACTACTCTCTCTCTGCACCCCTTATGCAGTGAGGAATCACTGGGTGCTATAATGAGCAAGTACTCATCTTGTTACTTCATATCCGGCACTACTGGATTCCAAGATTTGTGGGTATTTGTTTAATACTGGAATCAAAGCAAACTTAAGTAACAATGAACAAGCTTGAAATTCAAACTGCCAATTCTGGTTTTCTTTTGAATTGCACCTGTTATCAATGTATAGATGTAGGGAACCGGTTTGTTTGAAAATGATGAATGTGACTCAGCCATATATCGAAAGCAGATAGGAGCGAAGTGGTGGGCAGGAGCCAGACCCTCAAACCCGTTTCCCCATGGGAACCAGGCCCAGAAAATGCATCCAGACTGTTTTTGCTTGCTCTTGCTAAAAGTCCCTCGCCCTGGTCTGAAACAGTAGATGTTTATTGCCTATCTTCAAGGTAATTTCCAAAGCCTGTGTGAATTTTCCCAAGGATGGAACATAATCAGCTTGCCATCTTTGTCTTCTGCATTTGTTATTTTCGTTGCCTTGATTGTATCTAAAATGTAGACAACAACATTCTGTGTATAGATAATAAGACCCAGGAGAAACAATAAAAGCCTGTCCAGGCAAGGGTGGGGTGCTCTCCCCTTGAGAGAAGCAGCCATAGGACTCTCATCTTAAGACAGTACGTGTACCATCCCCCTTTCTCCACAGGACTGCTATAATCTGTGTGCATTTGTTTTTGTCTTCAGTTACAACATGCAGACTCTGCTGGCTGGAGTCCGCAACATACAGAACTACATCAGATGAGCTAGGCCTATACTTTGGACCTATACTTTGGACCTATATTGCCCACTTTAATGTCCTGTGAACATTTGAACACCAAATCTGTGCCAGACACCATTCTAGGTATTTTAGGTCCATGTAGGGATGTGAGCATGTTCGCCAAGATCCCGGCCCTCATGGAGCTTACAGTCTACTGGGAGAGACAAGCTAGCCTAAGTCCCTATGTCAGGAGTGCTAAGTGCTATTAGGAAAACAAGGGGGGTACAGAACAGTGGGCACTATGCTGGCCGGGGCGAACAGGGAGGGCGTCTGTGGTGAAACCTGGAGTGAGGAAGTGAACCACGGGAAGCCCTGGGGGAACAGTGTTGCAGGCAGAGGGACCAGAGGGGACTCAGGTGCTGAGGGAGGGATGGGTCCTTGGCAGGAACAAGAACAACACTGTGGTTCCAGGGTAGAGAAGGGGATGGAGAGAGGTGGCGGTGCGAGCCAGAAGCCAGATCTTGCCCCACATGATCCTTGTAGGCTAAGGAAGGGCGTTGGAACTTGTTTTGAACAGTAAGAAGTAATCGGCAAATTTTCAGCAGGACATGGCACGGTCAAATTATGGTGTGAGGAGCTCACCCTGGTTATTGTACCTGGTGACTGTAGAAGAACAGTAGTGAAAACAAGGAGACCAAGCAAAAGAAGATGACAGGCTTGATTTGGTGTCTTCTGCAGGTCAGGCTGGTTGGCTGAAGAACTGGATAAGAGATCTGAGAACTGATAAGCGTGACTTGGGCCGGAGCAGCAAGTTTAAGGGGAATAAACATCTTGAGAATGAACATTAAGAATACGCTGTGGCTGACAGATGACAAGAAGGGTTGGCGACGCTGTGGAGAAATCAGAGCTCCCACACCCTGGGGATAGGCATGCAACACGGCACAGCCCCTTCTGCGGCTGTCCTCACAAAGGTGCACCTAAAGTTACTGCATGACCTAGCAACTCCACTCTAGACAAACCAAAACACAGGTCTGCACAGAAACTTTTACATAAATGTCCATAGCAGCATTAGTCATTCTGGCCAAAGGGTGGACAGAACCCAAATGTCCCTCAGCTGACAAGTGGATAAACAAAATGTGATGTATCTGTACAATGGAGTATTATTTGGCCAGAAAAATGAATGAGGTTCTGACACATGCTACGACATATGTGAAGCTTGAACATATTATGCTAAGTGAAGCCCATCACAAAACCCGCCCCACACACGTGATATGATTCCACCTATATGAAATGCCCAGAATGGGCAAATCAGTACAGAGAGAGAGCATATTAATTTGTCCAGGCCTGGGAGGAAGGCAGATGGGAGAAGGAAAATGGGAAGGTGCTAACTAAAGGGTACACGGTTCCTTTTTGGGGTGATAAAAATGTCCTAAAACTGATCGTGGTGGTGGTTGTGCACCTCTGCGAATACACTAAAGGCCACCAAGTTGTACTTTTTAAACGGGTGAATCTCATGGTGGGTGAATTACGTCTCAGTGCAGCCGTTACCAAAAATATATGTCATGAAAAGGAAGACTTAATTTGATCACATTTATCTTAAAATAGTGATATTCTTTTGTCAGCCAACTGCCTTTTATACAGTTGCAAAAACTTAGGAACTTAGAAAGTAAGTCTAAAGGAAGGCTATTTCCCTTTAAAAAACAAAACAAGAGGTCGTGAAGAAGGCGGGGAGACGTGGCCCTAACCCAGGCTCCACTGTGAAGTGTCTTTGCCAAAACGGTTGGACCTAAAGCTTGTCAGGCCTTGAGAGCCCACTGCAGGGTACAGCAAACGCACGGGATGGAGAACAAGGTAGGAGTACCACGACAAGGAAGCAGCAGGTAAGTTCAGGATACCGGTTTCTATCAGAAAACTGACCTAGTTTTTAACTAGCCAACGGAATGAAGGCAGGAGAAAAGGCGGGGGATGGGACTATTCTAGAGGAAAAGCAGCTTAAAACCCTGACTGGCAATTTAAACTGTGGGCCTCAATTCCTGATTTGAACAAACCCACTGTCAAGATACCAAGTGAACTGGGAGAATTTAAAATATGTACTTGATGGTGATACCAAGACTCGGTGGCCGTGATGATGGCATTCTGGTGGATAAGCAAACATTGATATTTAAGAGGTAAAGCGTTAAAGGCAGAAAATAATGTAACAGGGATTTGTTAGAAAATAATTTGAGGAAAGTATAAGAAAAAATGAAGTAAATGTGCTAACTGTGGAGTCACAGTGTAAATGAGGTTCATGGCACTAATCTCCCCACTTTGAGATTTTTGGAAAGTCTTGTTTTTAAAAATAAAATAACGGGCAGATGCACCAGCTTAGCCAGCAAGGGTGGTTCTTAATCTTCAGCAAATGTGAGAATCAGCTGGAGGGCTTGTTATACCCAACTTCTGCTCCCTCCCTAGAGTTTCTCATTTGCAAGTCTGGGGAGGGGCTTGAGAATCCGCCCCTCTAACAAGAGCCCCGAGGATGCTGGTGCTGATGCTGCCCATGGGGACCCCACTTTGAGGACCACTGGTGAAGTCGTTTACCGGTGAAGCCTGCCATCCCAACCTGGCTGGGGTTACCTTGCTCCACGTGCTCGATGACCCTGAGGGCCTTCCTGGCTGCCCATCCTCCCATGGAGACGTGGTCCTCCGTGGCAGCGCTGGTGGAGAGGGAGTCCACGGACGAGGGGTGGCACAGCGCCTTGTTCTCGGAAACTGCAAGAGGCCAGGGCGTGTTAAGTGTGTTCCTGCAGAAAGGACTGCCAAAGTGACACACGCTGTCCCAAAGTGCTCCGTGGCATGGAGGGCCTTCTCCAGGAGCTCTTGGTGGTTGTCCAAGCACCAGATGCTCCAAAGTTACTTTGGAAAAGGACATAGGATGTTCTCCCACACACACAAAGTGAGAAGAACTCTAAAGCTATAGTGAGTTCTAAGAACCAATGGAAATCATCATATTACAAAGCCACATTGAAAACATTGGAAGCACTTAGCATGCCAGGGAGACAAAGAAAAAAAGACATGTGGTCCTTTCCAGGTCCTCGAGAACAACCTGACTGCTTGTGTCACCAGCGGAGGTGACATTGGAATTCAAGTGTGGCATTTGGGCACGGAGGCTGGATCCACAGACCTTGGGCAAGAAGATTTGATGGTTCACACTGTTCAACAGTGACATAAGTGAATGGTCTGAGTTTAATCAAGGGCTTGAAGGCTGCCAGAGATATCTTCGGGCGGTGACAGGTTCCTAGAGAGGACCGCAGAGTGATGTCTCTCACACTTTCTAGGGCACACGCATCACTGGATCTTATTAAAATGCCAGTGTGAGTTTGGGGTGGAGCCTGAGATTCTGCTGTTCTAACAAACTCCCCAGTGACAGCTGTGCTCCTGGTCTGTGGCCCACACCTGAAGTAGCAAGGACCTGGATTAGAGAGTTCCTTCTTTCCAGCGTCAGAAGCCAGGAAAGGTCAAGCTCAGAGAGCCTTGTCCCCTCTTTCTGTGGCATTGAGAGTGGCTGTGAGTGAAGCATCCACAGTTTTCCACGTTATAAGGGAGTGATTTTCAACCAGCGCATCGCAAGACTTTTTAAAACATGCAGTACCTGACTAAGTAGTCAGGGGCATTGACCTCTTTCCCCTTAGACTGTCAAATAAAAAAATGACAACATTGAACACAACAATAGCTGTCCAGTGTGAATGAATCAAAATTATACCCTTTTTTTTTTTTTTTGGTCAGGCCAACAAAAAATAATATATATTTTTGGTTGCCACAGAATTTTAGTAATTAGTTTATGTGTGCCATGAGATGAAAAAGGTTGAACATCACTGCTCTAAGGGATCCTATCTGGACTAATCTAGATTTAATAGGGGTGATCCACTCATGCTGGTTTGCCCAGGATGTCAGCACTGCAACCCAGGTCCTGGGGCCCTGAACCCGCTCCCTGGGTCAGCAGGCTGTGATGAGGCTTATTCAGAAACATAATATACAAATGGCTAAAAAAAGAAGAAAAATGACAGTTTCGTTATAATGAAAGCAAACGGGACAACTTCGATAGGCAGCTTGGGGAGCTAACCCCATTCAAACGGGGCTTTCTGAAGTCCGTAATGTTCTCTAGAAATCAGTGACCTCTCCCCACACAATGTTAATGTGAGAACTTGTTACCCTTTGAAAGGGTAGTTTTAATGAGCAGGTAAGTGAACAAATAGAAGACACTAGACAGAGGAGAAGATGACGTCAGTGGCCCTTTGTTGGTTATTTTTGTTGAGTTTTAGTGTGAGGTTTAAGCGAGGAAGGAATTAGGAGTAATAGTAAGAGCAACTATACTTGTTTACCACCAGGCATAATTCTAAGGCTTTTCCTGCATTACTTCGCTTCCTACTCAACAGCCCCACTAGGGAAGTTTATCATGCCACTCTACAGAGGAGTAAACTGAGAGTCAACAGGACTGAGACTCATTCCATGTCACACTGAAAATGGCAGGGCCAGGATTCGAACACGGACTCTGTGCTCTTAATGAACCACCACGCTATCCTGCCTCCGGGTAGGTTAGCCAGACAGAAACACAGAATGCTCAGTTAAATCTGAATTTCAGATTAAAAAATAAGTTTTAGTAGAAGCCTGTCCTAAAGAATTCAAATTTAATTGCATATCCTGCATTTCTATTGTTCAATTTGGCTACCTCATTTTAGGATTAAGTATCGATGAAAACGAGATCCTTATTAACTGAAAGGAAAGCACGGATTCAGGCGCCAACATGCCTGGGCTTGAATTTTCTGCCTCTCACTAGATGTGCAATATTGGGTACAACACTACTTCTCAGATCTCCAGGTATTCGTCTGGAACGTGGAGGTAAAAATAGTTTGTGCCTCACAATATTGTTGTGATGACCGAGTGAGTGAACACAGGTGAAGTCCTTAGCACTTCGTTTGTGCCAGGTGCCGTTCTGATGAGTCACTGATCTCTCCCTTTCAGTGCTGGCCCAGAAATCTGTGTTGGAGCTCAGTATTCACAGAGGGCCTCCTGTTTGTTATAAGCGTTGTTGCATGTTGGGACCACATTTTCAGGGGTCAGTGTATCTAATGAAATGTCTCCAAAGTCCAATTATTCAGGTCAGTGCAAATTTCAGATGACCTTTTTGATCATTTTCAAATTGAGATTGGGGAAAAGCTACAAAGATCAAGTTCGTATGTGATGTCAAATTGCTTCCTACAGAGAAACTATGGAAGCCGTATGGTTTACCATTGCACTAATGTATTTTTTATGTTTCAGTCTAATATTGTTTAGGTTTTGTTTTAATTGTTTTCTATAAAATATTAAAGAGACAACCTGCTGCTTTTGTATTAAGAGAGGTAGGATGCAAATGCAGGTGTTGAAACAGGTAGATCTCATTTAAAGACAACATTTGATATTTTCAGGTAAAATGGAGAGGCCCTTCACCGGGCAGGCTTGCGTTCTGGGAAGCGGGCAGTGTGCTTACCGAGGGCTGCGGCTGTGCAGTGGGCTATCATGAATCCAGAGTTCAGACCGCCTTCAGCCACCAGGAAGGCGGGCAGCTCGCTGAGGGAGGGGTTACAGAGCCTTTCAATTCTTCTTTCGCTGATCGCGGCAAGTTCGTGGACACCAATGGCCAAGTAGTCCAGGGCCTGAAAGAGGGTCTCAGTTCAGTTGGCCTGTATTTGGAATACGCTTTCAGGGGCAGCAGCAATTCTAAAAAGCTTACTTTGGCTGGGTATTCACCGTGGAAGTTTCCTCCAGAAATAGTCTCTCCCCGGCTGGCAAAGACCATCTTTCAAAACAGGTTAAGGCTTGAAAGTAACACTGGCTGATCACTCCAAGTGTGATGCTTTCCCCAACTGCTGATTTCTAGCATTGAGGTGGCAGCCCTTGCAAAATGTGAGGTGGAGAGAAGAAGAGTTTTTCCACAAGCAGTTGTCGACATAAAGGGGCAAACACACAAAACAAACCAACATAACCTTGAAGGAGGATCATAAATGCACAATTCGGGGCCAGAGAAACACAAGGCGTGAAAGGCTGTTTTCTCTTGAGATTTGAGATTCTCAAGCACTATAACTGTACTAATCAGGTGGTTACTACTTGCCCTCAAGAAATTTATAACCTGAAACTAAGAGCAGAGACCAGGACACTAGTTTAAAAGCAAGTTGTATTTCTTCAGTGGGCGCTGTGAGCTTGCGCTCCACGGAAGAACCTGCTGAATGGAAGGCTTTGCTGATGACCAGCCACCACATTGTCTGGAACAGTCAATTCTGGGAAAACTTTCAGACAAACCTGTCTACTCAGTGATTCCGTGCCAACGTTCACAGCAAATGGCGGCCAATGATCGTCGTAAACCCGTTTAGGTCAGAGGTAGCTTTGGACTCACTGAATATTGGTATTCTCAGGGCCTATTTCACCCCATCATGCACTTTACTTAAACCAACAGACAAAGGCAGTGACAGACCCTTCTTTCAGGTTCCAAAAAGCCAATTATTACCTACTGAACTAAAGAATATTCACTACCACCCTGACTGGTGTGGCTCAGTTGGTTAGGTGACATCCTTCAAAGCAAAAGGTCAACAGTTCGATTCCTGGTCAGGGCACGTGGCTGGGTTGTGAGTTCGGATCCCAGTCAGGGCACGCACAAGAGGCCATTGATTCTCTCTCACATCACGATTCCTCTCCCTCTCTCTCTCCTTCCCTTCTCCTCTCTCTAAAAAATAGTAAATAACTAGAATTAAAAAATGAATAAAAAGGTTTTAAAGGATATAATCGCTTCTCAGCCTTTTGGCTAAGATAAAGTGTAGTATCTGTTCTTATCAGTTTCAAGAATATTCACTACCTGTTGACTAGAAACTCATTCTGTGTGAGAAAGGTGAAGAGCTGGAGATGCATGTATTACATCATCTTAGTCAAGTTTGGAGTTACCCTTTTCTGTACCTTATAGCTGAGAGCATATTAGGCCCCATTCTTGCTCTTGTCCATGAACCCACCCCACCCACAGGTCTTGGTTCTCTGGATCCTTATTGCAAGTGATCTCTGCATCAGTTTGGAGTTTGAGCATGTTCTACTGTTCTCTAGCTCCAAATCTGTTGGCTATTAAATTATAGCAATTAGAAGTTAACTCCCATAATGCCCAGCAACTAGGTGATAGGTGCTCTTTATCCACGATAGAAAAGTTAGAAAAATATTCTTTTGGGTAACACCAGTATTGCAGGAGAGCTCCCAAAGATCAGTTTATTGGAAATTTATCAGCAATTACAAATCTTTAATTGAGGAAGTAGAGGACTTTTGGCTGAGATTTTTGTTGAAGCAAGTGGTGGGTTGGGGGGGGATTTAGTAGGGAATTATTTCTTCCCCCATTTCCAGTAATTTAATGTTTTTTAAAACTCTCTAAGATACCCTTTCAAGCCTAAATTATGTAAGCGTAAAATGGATACTTCCACTCTACAGGATAGACAGACAAGACCAGACCACACGGAGTTCAGGAAATCTATTCCATTTGGAAGGTGGGACGGTGTAGAGGTGGGCTAGTGAGTTGAGGATTATCTAGTGTGGGTTTGACCGAACTGTGACGCAATCCGAGAGGATGTAAACCGCACACCCCGCAGGGAGCTCGTCAGAGAAGCCACGCAGAACAGGTCTTGTGAGAAACCTCGCACCGCGGCTGGGGACCTGTCTGCAGCTCGTTCAGCACCGTCTCCAGTGTTAAAAATGTAGGAGAGGAAAAACAGATCCCTCAGGGGCTGGTGGTCTTCATAGGCAGTGTTGTCTCTGTGAAGACTTTGCCAGTGTGACCCCTGGCTGATCACACCAGCTTCTGGGGGAGCGGAGCCATCACAGAGCACTCCACAGCGGAGAGAAGACGGCTCTGAGGCAGCCACACCAGGAAAGAAAGTAGAGTCCCATCCTTGAGAAAGGGAAGGGTTCTTACTCTTCTCTGTGCAAACATGGAGAAACATTGATTTGCTTGATGTCCACGTCGGAAATTAAAATTCCGGTGTGCAAAGCTGTAACTTTTTGAACAACACTTTGGTCAGTGTTAAAAAGTGGCTCTCTGTTTAATGCTAGAACCAGGAAGGCTTGCATAAGTACCACCTGCCCTGGGTCTCCACAATCACACCTGCGACGCAGGTCTTCATCCTTCTACCAACAACCTCAGCCATGGGTTTTAGGGCAAATGTCTTCATGAAATGTCTCGGCTGATGCTGAAATCCCTCCTTTAATCTTTAATGGGTCAGTTTTGAAGGCACGGCATGTGAGACTCCGAACCCGAGATTAGGTCCACAAGCCTACCTCTGCCACTTTCCAGCTCTGATCTAGAGACAGCCACCTACCTTCCGAGACTCAGCTACTCAGTTTATGAAGCGGAGTGACAGAGAAGAGAAGCTACACAAAACGGTCACTTCAGATCTCAAAATCACCAGCTGAAATTCTGTAACTACAGTTTAGTAAACCGTCAAAAGATACAGGGTTATCTGTTGCGCTGTTTAGTTCTGTGGTGATCACGTTCTTCACAAACGCTATGGTGTCATTCGCCACACCGTGCACCTAAAACATAAGATTAAGGGAGTTAATACGTGGAAGGCACTGCCAATGGTGCCTGTCACATAGAGGTGATATTCTTATTAGAATAGAAAGAATGTTGGAAAGTGGGATTCGTTCTTACGCTGGAGCGAATTGGGCAGTTCTTCCCTGTGGATGTTTATGATCCAGCCAGCTACACTAGAACGTGCCGAGCACAAGGAAGTGTGAGTATTTACACTAGGGAGGACTCTTCATTACATGGTAGACTGGAATTTGGCACACGCTGACATACAGGGTGGGTAAAAGCAGGTTTACAGTTGTGAGTAGGAAAAACACAGTTTATTTTTGTATTATTCTTTCTTAAGTACTTATTTCCCATAAGAACAACTGTAAGGCCACTCTTGCCCCACCCTGTATTGTCTCATTCTTGAGAAGCATGTTAATCTCTCAGTCAACTAATCACCACGCCAACCTGAGTCATCTGCATTTATTATTTAAAGTTAGGCTTCACAGATTCAATTTATGATGATTTGTATCTGCCTCTTAAGGGCAGATAAGGTAGAGTAGGATGGGCACTTGAATTTTGATGAAGCCTTCCTGTGAACAGCCCTGGCAGGCTGGCTCTAGTTCTGTCTAAGGGTGAGACCCAGTAAAATTCCACCAACAGATCGAGATGATGTTATTACTCAGAATTTTAAGAAGTGAGGGCATTAAGCCAACACAGCAAGTCGTCTGTTGGAATTCCCTACAAGGTTGAGCACAGCAATTCGAAAGGAAAACACCAGCCTGTCACATGGAATAGAAACTTGACAATAATTGGACAAAAAGAAGTATGATCCACATAACTTTTAATAGAGGCAGTAAAGAAATTTGGACTCTAATAGACCATTACATGATTTTCTAATACCTTCCTCTTTTTCTATCCTGCCCACTGCCCTCCTCCCCTCCACCCTCGGAACTGGGAGAGAGAAAAGAAACTTTTTGTTTGTTGGTTTACCTGTGGACAGCAGCGCAAGGTGTACGCATCCTGCACACGGTCACAGAACCTGTGGCTTTCTGTGGAAGCGGTGGAGGGGAGGGCAGGAAAAATGTTATCAATTCTCTTCCACATAACCCAAACCCAGATAAGTTCACTCACGTAAAAATGTACCGACCTGCTATTTCTGATGGATGGTGATCCGAGTCCAAGAGTGACCGAAACCGAAAAGCAACTTCAATTTGCCCAGGGTGAGGGCGAACAGCATGGATGTCTAGAATTGATGAAGGGGCAAAGTCTGAGCAACTCACATTAGAACACAATATCGTGGGCGGCTCCGGACCATCATGCAGTCCTGGGGTCCTTATCCACCACTCGGGATTAGAAACTTAACTCCAAAACAAGATATTCCTTATTGTCTTTATTCTTTCTACTTTAAATATCCAAGTGCAAATTATGTGTTGAGAATTCAGCTACTGGGAATTCAACTCAAGACACTGAGCTACCCTAAAAAGAGTTAGACTCATAATGGAAGGGAGTTCTATAGTAGCCTGATATACTCAGTTATTTTTAGACAGTTTTTCTGTCCTATGTACTAGTAGAGAGTCTTTCAAACTCGCTACTTTCTAGGTAAGCTATCACCTCTAAAGCTCCCCCCTCCCTCAGTTTTCTAATGGCAACCAGCCTGAGTCCTACTATAGTTCTAAAACCCTGCAAACAGATTCCTAAAATTACACATAGTTTAGAAAGAGTCAGACCCAGGTGATCGGAGGCAGGTCACTTAACTCTCAGGGTCAGTGTCTGTCTGTAAAACATGGTCATTTCAAGGGTCGAGTGTGGCGGAATCTAGATAAAGCTGGAGAAGTGTTGGGTATGCCACAGGCTCTTGGGTTTCCTCCTTCTTCCCTACCACCCACCCCACCTCTCCCGTGTCTAAAGGCCTAGACCAGCCCACCCCACCAGCTCTGGCAGAATGAACAGCAGCCAAACAGGAGAACCGTGCTGACCAGTATCGAAGGCTTTGGTGGTTCCCTTCAGCACCTCAAGGGTCAAGGCCGCCACTATGTCAGCCTGCCGCGCAATAGCACTGGCTCTCTCCACAGCTTCGCAGCCCAAGGAGGTGATCATCTGTGTCCCGTTGATGAGCGCCAGACCCTTTGGGGCAGGGGAGAGAAGGTTCCTACTGTTTCTTTGTAACAAACCTGTGTGCAAGTTGATTTTGTACCATTTGCTTTTATAGGCGGGAAGTTGGCCAGTCAACTAAAAGATGTTTTTTTTTTCCACGTTTTCTGAAGTGTAGGGCAGTAATGTTTATTGAAGCACTTGAGGACTAAGTGCCATCCTATGTGAAATCATTACTATACATCTATAAAATCACTATAAATCAAACAGCTGTTAAGTACTCCCATTCTCAAGGCAGCAGAACAGCTCCAGTATAGAAGGCATATAAAATCTTTACCTCTTAATTATGTCACATTTCTTCTTTAACTTCTCATCATTATAGACAAGATACCCTGAAACATTTCTGGCCCCAGACTCTTGGCTTACAGCATCCTCATGGTTGCTGGCTTAGAGCATCTCTTGGGGATCCCTAGAAATTCTGATTTAAAGTTTAAGTTCTTAGGTAAGAGAACCCCTAGGCACTTATGACATGAAGAATCTTTAAATACTCATAGAGCAGTTGTTTCTTTAGTGGCCAATTTTAACAAACATGTAAGCCATGTTTATTTAAAGAAGTCAGTGAGACTGACATTAAGAATGAAAATAGTGCATAAATAGAGACTTGCTGACATGAACAAATTTTCCTTGGGTCTCCTTACCTCTTTTGGTTTCAGAACAATTGGTTTCAGTCCATGGGCTTCCAGGACCTAAAGAATGGTTTTAAGAAATTAAAATGGGCAACAAATGAAATACTAGCTTATTACTAATTTCCTGAGGAATCCAATGAAAGATCTTTAAGCTGAAAGATCTGTCTTATAAAAGATTAGACCTACTTCTTAGATGGATTAGCTCTGCTTGTCACCTCTGGTCTATTCTCTAGTTCTGTTCTTTAGTCTAAAAAGAGATGTAACTTTCAAATGATTTTTATACTTAAATCAGGGGCCCTGGTGTCTACAGAATCACCCTTGAGTTCTGGTTTCTAGGTCCTGTGTGTTCAGTGTCCACTTTAGTGATTTGTGCCACTTCCTGAGCACATACACACACCTGTACTGCAGAAGGACGGGGCTTCTGACAGTCTGCACATTCCCTGCCTGGGGAGCTTAACCCCCAAAGTCCTCCTATGCATCTCAACACTGGCAGAACCTCAAAGTAGGGCTTCTCGCTTGTGTGGCATATGTGTGAGCACCAACGAAAGGAAGATTGTTGGCCTAATGGAAACAAAATCCTGAGGGGAGATGGGCCAAATAATCTCTCTCTGAGATAAAAGAAGTAAATACCATCAATGAGTGAAGGTCCCTCCAGGGAAGGAGGAAGACAGAGCCAGCATCGCTTCCTATGTTGATTTCTCAGGCTTATTACAGTACCTATGACACGTCTAACTCTGCTCGGAGTGTTGGGCGGGGTTAGGGTAGGAAAAATGGAGACAGGCAAGATCAAGGGTCACTACAGTGCAGAATGGTAAGTGTTCCAGGAGGTGAGAAGTGGGTACAAGATGCTAGGAGAACACAGAGGAGGAGCAAAGGTGACTTGGGGGTGGGGAAAAGAACCAGAGGAGCAGAGAGGGGAGTTTCCCAGAGTGCTAGTCAGACAGAGATGCAGCAGTGAGTGGGGAAGGGGAGAAGGACCCGTGCTGCTCTCTCTGCCCAGGATGCAGCACACTCCAGCTGCAAGGAACCTCTGGCTTTTGTGATGGAGAGCCCTGGCGAGTAGGGGGGACAGGGTAACACGACAAACAAGAGTCTTGTAGGTCACATGAAGTTTACGCTTTCTCCCAAGGAAATGGGAAGCATTGTAGGTTTTAGACAGGGTGTGCTCAGCTTTGCCGTGTGAAGGTGTTTGGGGGAACACTGCACACAGAGAGACAATCAAGATGAGTCCACAGGGAACCTGTATCCCCACAGGGATTATCTGTTTCCCTAGCTTCTCCCTCCCCTTTGGTTCTCAACACTTTGCTTACTGTTAGGGGACCTCCCAACAATAGATCAGAGATGGCACTTTAAATAATTCTTCAGGCTGCTCTTGTGGAATTTGGAGATGTATGAAGAAACCAGTAAAGCTTTATCAAAAATAAGCCTTTCTAATTAGCCTCCAGGGTGGGAGCTTGTGGGGAAATGGGACCTTCTTTCCAGAGGCCACAGAGTAAGTGCTATAATCCACAGCTCAGTACCTGTGAGACCAGCAACTAAGTCAACTTGTGACACTACACGACCTCCTGAATAGGCCCCGGAAGTGTTTTAGGTGCAAAAGAAATTCTTGGCATCAACACTGGCAGCTGGACCTTTGCATCAAGGAGATTGCCAAGTCCAGAGGCTGACAGTTGGGTATGGGAGCTAACAGCCTTGCCTAGTTTGACTTCTCAGCTCCAGTTTTCTCATCTATAAATTAGGGATAACTGTGGCCCCATCACGGGGCTGCTGTAAGGACTAAATGATATAGAGCATGCCATACACACAGTGTCCAGTCCAGGAAAACTCCTACAGATGGACATTGTTGTTCAAGTCTTACGTATTTAGCGTCAGCCCAGCCGCTCTTTGGAGACCACATCTTCCCTTCTCCAATCAGCCCAAGAGCAAGATGAGAGAGTGGAGCCAGGTCTCCGCTGGCACCGACGGTTCCTTTCTCGGGAACGTAGGACAGGCAGGAGGCTGGGAGGGAAACGACACCAGTTACTCCAGGAGAACTTCATTCTGGCCAACCTCACTTTGCCAGTGAGACCCGCCTCCCCCTTGTAGGGTCTACTACCCTCTTCTGGTACAAATAACCTGGGTAAAGACAGTTTCTCAAGAACAGCTAATAATACTTAAGGGACCTGGGTGAGGTGCTACAGAAAGAGGTAAGGAGAAGGGAGAAAAAAGGCAGGAAGGAATTAAAAAGGGAGGGAAGAGAGTGAGGGAGAGCAGGGAGGAAAGAGGACCCTCCCTTCTCTTGCAGGTCACTGTCAGTATAGACTTTCGCCTAAGGATGACAGGCAGCATGGCAGGTTTTAGCCAGGACCTGCGCAGACTCACTGTGGGAAGCTAGCTGGGGTGGATGGTAGGTGGGGGGAACTGTGTACACAGAAGCAATCAAGGTCAGGCTGCACGGGAGAAAGGCAGTCGGGAACCTACATCCCCATAAAGATGATCTGTTAACGTCTTCTTCCTCCTCGGACCTCGGCTCCTTCTCTTACTGTTCCTGTGCATGTTCTAATCTGACCTAGAGATTTCTAGAATTCTAGCTATGTATCTGAAAGATGTAATAAAAAACTAGCTGGGTCATTATAGCCTTGTTTTTAAGAACAAAAATCTAAAGTGATCTAAATAAGGCATTAAGAGATCTCCCTCTGACTGAAAGTTGTGTGTGGCCATTACAACCTATCAGAGAATGTTTGGAAATGTTGACTTTAGAAAAGTAGTATAAAGTGTGCCAGGAAGATAAGGTTCCCCCAGCTGTGGATGGTTTTCTGTGGGGGTGAAGTCTTAGGCAACTCAGTCTCTTCTTATTACCACCTTGCCACCGCTTGTGAACGGACTGTACTGTTCTGTAGGAAATTCCCAATAAGTTACCAGAAAAAGAGGCTTCGTTTTTCTAAGTAAACTCGGACTCCTAATAGCAGCGTTTTTGCAAACTGCTAAATAACGTCAATGGGATAAAGCAGTGCCACCCCCAGGCCAGCTTCCAGATCAGAGTTCACTCTGGGGAATTCTCAGAACTCTAGGGCCCCAGGAATACCTTAGACTTACCCATAAAGCATGCAGAGGGGGGTCACTGCCAAATTTGTACTAGCTGGGATTGTAAGGCAGACCAGGAAGGGGGTAGAAATAGGCATTGAAAGCACAGCCCTGTATACTATCAATTGTTTGTTCAAATTGCTATTCACTGATGGGCACATCACATATAGGCTCCCTGTGTCCATAGCCTGGGAGCTCTGGCACGCGTTTCTATCTGTGACTGCCCAGCCCTGCTTTTCCTCCCGTTCCTTCACCTCAAAGGGTCCCCAGGACTCTGCTGACCTGGAATGTTTATCTGTATCTATGAAAATGGACAACAGTCTCTCAAAGCATTTCAAACCTTGTCTCCGTATTTGAATTGTCCTATCCCAGGAAGTAAGCTCCAAAGAGTTTGAACTGCAAGCAAGTTATGGGGGGATTTCAGTTATTCAAGCCTGGAGAGCATACTTGGGGAGCATTAAGATTTCAGATTCCCAGGCACCAACCAGAACAACCGAATCAGTCTCTGGGCCTGACATCCAGGAGCCATGGCGTTCCCTGATGATGTGATGCTACTTCTATAACCACCCTTGAGCACCGCTGAATCGAAGTTCTCCCCACCCCTGAATGTAAGGCCCGACTCTCAGACTGGTTCCAGTCTTAAAGATGCCAAATACAAAGTGAAGAATGGTGGAGAGTGGGTTGAGGTACATGCGAGAAAATGTGTGGGCCACACTCCCCCCACCTCGCTACCCTCCTTCTTGCCAAGCCCTTTCTCCATCCATCTCCATTATCTTGTGTCTTCCTGTCTCGTCCAATTTCTCACCATCCCGTCAATCAAGTCTACCTTAAGGGACGTGCCCAGCCTCAATGGAGGGCCAGTTGGGGACCCATTGCATTACCGTTAAATGCTTCGATAACTTGTTTGAGTGTCTCCAGGGAAATACCACTGTATCCTTTGGCTAAGACATTGATCCTCAATGCCAAGAGCATCCGACATCTCTCAGGGCTTAGTGGTTTTCCAACACCTACAGAACAATTGAAAAACAAAATCTTTCCCACCTCCTGGCTGTCTTCATCTCTCAAATTTTTCTTCACTTCTTTTTTTTTTCCTAAGACAGCTATTGGAAAACCCTACTAATTACCAATGGGTATTACAAGACCACACAAAGCTTGTGTTATATTTATGTTGGGCAGTGCTGATCTAGGCAATGAAAATAAGTAAGGGTTAATGAAATATTCCCAACAGGCTGAACACAAGCAGCGTAGCAACAGAAAACCTGGTAGGAACAAGTTCTGCGGTCATGTCCACGGCAAACAAGACACTGCATTCTGAAAGCCTTGGTAATGACCGTCTCTTCACTCCTGACTCAGATGGTTGGACTGCTCTCCTTCCTGACTGCCTTGCTGCTTCAAGTCTCATCTTCCAGACAAAGGTGAAACTCCAGTTTTGCCTTCTCAGTTTCCCTTCTTGGAACCCTTCAGTGAGCCCCCCATTCTCCACCCGACACCCTTAGAGTAGCGTGCAGACTCCTCAGCAAATGTTGCCTCTCATTCTTACAGGAGCCAATTCTTGACAGACGGTCTGACCTCAACTCATCCGAATCAACTCATTCCCTGAGTTTCAGCTTTAATTTTGCTCTCAATCCCGTCCCTCCACCGAGCCCCTTCCTTTTTGTGAGATTCAGCTAGAAGGTGGTCTTGTCTGATGCGTTCTGCTTTCCTCCTCCCCCAAAGCACCCGGCCTTGGAAGGCACTAGCTCTGCACGGCTCTTACGGGATGTGTCACACTTTGTTCCACCAATCAGACAAGATCTAGGAGGCACGCAGCATTTGCAATGATTTACCTGAAGAATGGGAACGTACTAGGTTGAACTGGAGCTCCCTGAAAGAGAAAGGGAAAAAACCCTCTTAGATAACCTCCTGGTGAAGACGTGCCCTCTTCTGGGGAAGTGAAGGGAGAGACAGTTCAGTCTTTGGAGGAACAGAGTGAGGCAGTGTGAGCCAATGAAAGAAACCAGTAGGCCTGTGTTTTCAATGCCAGCTCATGTGCAAGTTAACCCGAGACTCATCCCCCTCATCTGTAAACTGGGGCAAATGTTATTTCCTTTGCTGAAAGGAATCTGAAAAATGGGCATAGCTGGCATGTGAATGTGGGTGTCTTTGGTGGGGAGAGCAGGTATCAAACTTACTCTAGCTTATTGATAGGAATGACAGTTCTGGCAAACTTCCCAAAGCCTGTAGTAATGCCGTAAACAACTGGAATAAAAAACAACAACAACAGAAAACAGACATTATCCAATTAGGGCCAGTGTTTTTAAGGCCATATTTTTAAGTCTGTAAAAATAAATGTATGACACAAAGGGGAAAAGGTACCAGTTCTTTCTTTTATGATGCTGTCGATGACTTCCCTGGATTTCTGCACCTTCTTTTCAGCAGTTGGGGTGAGCTAGGAAAACATGGGTCAGAGCTGAGCACATGGAAGGTTTCCACAGGTAGCAGAAAAGGTCAGAGGATGCCCCGCCCTTCCCCATACCTTTATTTTGTAGCGTCCCTTGCCCAGGTTGACCAGATCCTCCGTGGTCAGGCTGTCCCCATCCAGGGCAATGTACTGCACAAAGGAGGGGAGCTCCGTGAATCCCAACAGCTTAGTTGCTCGAATGAGGGCCACTAAGTAGGGAAGCCTCAAGCAGAACGAAAGTCTGACACTTCAGAAATTTTATTGCTGCTACTTAATATACTAATTTAGAAGACAGCTCACTGAAGAGGAGGCTGAGTAAGGAATGTTAGAAACGGAAAAGCATAACGCCTGTCCCTACTACCCACAGTGGGACAAAGTCCTGTCCCATGCATGGGATAGCGTTTACTCATAAATTCTGCTCACTCTCCTTAAATGAGGGGGACTTCATTTTCCTAGCAAAGAGAGAGTGGCTCGAAGCTTACCTTTTCAGGCTCTCGGTATTTGCTGTAGCTGAAGCCAGGTAAAGGAAAATACGGGGGAGTGTGGAAGAGCCCCAGCCCCACCCCTGGCAGGAGCCTGCAGAGCAGGCCAGGGTGCCTGCAGGAAAGGATACAGGTAAACTCCTTCCGGTTGCGATGGAATGAAGTCGGGAGACATGGCATCCCCTTCGATGACTGAAACAAGAATGCGAGAATGACCCCTTACTGACCACAACGGAGAGCCACTTTGGGCCTGGCTGGTAAACCAAGGAAGGTCTCTTCAATTGCCTTTGAAGTCTATCAAAATGGCTGCTTTGAAACGACTTCAGACACTTTCAAGTGCTCTTAGCATCTTTACAAGGAAGGACAGTGAACAACAGAGATATAGGCGGACCCAGGTTTAAATGAAAGTTCAAGATCTAACCCCCACCTCTATGCCCATCCCAGCTTTATTTTGATTTACAAATCTGATCTCCTCTATGCCACTGGCCTCTTCATCTGGTAAGTGTTTTGAAGGGCAAGAAGATCTTCGTCTTTAAATCCATGAAAATAATTATATAAGCCCTGGATATATCAGTGGATTGAGCACTGGACTGCGAACCAAAGGGTCACCGGTTCAATTCCCAGTCAGGGCACATGCCTGGGTTGCAGGCCAGGTCTCCAATAGGGGGTGTGCTAGAGGCAAACACACATTGATGTTTCTCCCCCTCTCTTTCTCCCCCTCTTTCCTGTCTAAAAAAAATAATTACATAAGACATAGTAATTCAATAATTGCAAAGGGATTCAAACCCACAGATCTGATCTTTGCTTCTTACCAATGGCCTGACTCCCTTTGGGAGTCTGTTGCCCTGTTTTAAAATGGGGACTAGAAGCCCCCTGTATCACAGGGGTAAGTGGGGACCTAAGGCACACGGAGGCCTAGCAGCGTCTGCAGACAGTTTCCCTGGCACTGGGGATGACGTTGGGACCTCCCCGCCAGGGACGTGAGCACTAAGCCGCATCCTGCGGCGTCAGCTAGCGCTGCTCCCCTCCTGCCACTCACCCACTTCCACGAAATCATTGTCCTCCAGCGCCACGTCGAGTGGGTCCTCATTGTCCAGCAGGCCCAGGCCCTTGCAGCGGCGCACAAGAAAGCGCACGTCGTCCACGGAGGCGAAGCCACCATTGTCTGGCTTGTTCTTTATGTACCTTCGCACGGCCTCGCGGCCCAGCCAGCCCACCGTGAGCTGCGCGTCCCCGCAGGGCACAGCCAGCCATTCCCCGCGCACGTGCACCGTGTACCTGGGCATGGTTCCAGCTGCTCCTGCAGGCTGATGAGGCCACAGCAGCCAGGCTCCTCTGCAGGTGACAGTTACCAGGAGCACAGAGTTTTATCTAGCAGAAACTAAAGAGGTGTGGTGAGTGGGGAGGGTGAGGATGGACTTTAAATAGGCCACCGCCCTTGCCTTTACTCATTCAAGTGTTGGGCAAATATTTATTAAGGGCCTACAGTATCCCTTTGGGATTTTACAGCTGAGCTGGGGGCCAGAGAGGGGGATGCAGGCAGGCCAGCCCCCTGTGACCCTGCCATGCAGCCCTGTTGGCAGAAAGGCCTGGGGGTCCTAGCACCTGCTGGCAGCAGCTGCCGGCCCTTTTCCTCAGGGCTCTCGATTTCTCCCCTCCGCATTCCTGTCTGCATTGTCTGCCATTACGGGCAGCTTACAAACACCCTGTTCCTGTCTTTATCGGGAATTACTCAACTGTACAATACACCCTGCTGGCCAACTGCAACACTGGGGAGTGTGGCAACCCTCACTTATTTGTTGATTCCACAAACATGTGTTAAGCAACTACTCTGCCACCGCCCAGGTTTTCTGAGGCTGCCCCCCCCGCAGAGGGAGACTGCAGAGGCCAGAGATCATGCTCACAACTAAAGCTCACCGTCTGGACGAAAGGGCCACCATGGCTTAAAGGTTAACAGCTCAGACAGCTGTGCGTGGGACTCCAGCTCCACTGCTTATTAGCCTGCAGCAAGTAAGTTCTGCAATAGCCTCCGTTTCCTCCTCGGAAGGCAAAAGGAATAAATGCCTCCCTACAGTATTTGCCGTGACGACCTGGGATCAAACCCTGGCTCTGCCTTTAACTAGCTGTGCAATCTCTAGCAAGTCGTTTGACCTCTCTGGGCCTCAAGTTCTTCATCTATAAAATGGGGATAATGATGGTACCTATTGCAAAGGGCTGTTGAGAAGATTGCGTTCAGATATGCAAAGCCCTTGAAGCAGCACCTGGTACCCTGGAAATGCTATAGAAATGTTTGTGGTTATTACGTGAACTTTCATACTCTATGTACCTGTCCTGCTGTATATACGTTCTTTCATTTTTGTACATGAATATCCCTAACCCAATGAAGGTTCTTCAACACAGATAACTGCTCCCTACACCCAATTCATTACCGCAGACTTTTAAGGAAGTCTGAAGAGCGGGAAAAAGGATGGGAGGTGGGCACCAGTCTCGCAGCGGGCACACAGTTTAGCAGCAGTCCAGTAATGAGCCAGTCTCTAGAGGTTTGATGAACACAACAGAAAGATCCTAAAAGGTCTGTCCCCATGGAAACAGATTTCTTCTGGGACTAGAGACACAGTCGCTCCCAGAAAACAGGCATGTCCAGCATCTCTTTCCCTGACAGCTTCTGGGGATGGGTACACATAAAGGGGTAACCACGCCTTAAGCCTTATGGAAACTTGCACCCCCCAAATCCTGACCACACCCTGGAATTTGTCATCACCTGAATTCGATCCACATACATCTTACATTCCAATACTCACCTTCTAACAGTAACCGTGTAGCCTTCAGTGCCCCCCCCACCCCCACACCATTACTTGGGTCACCTCTGCCCTGAGGCCTGACCTCTGGTCAGTGCCTTTTCCTTCCTCCTCCCATCTGCTTCCTCAGCGCTTTCCCAGGACACTGGCTCCCTAGCTGCTCCCCTGGACCACTTTCTTCAGCTCTTTGAAATGCCTTTGGAACACTACACCTATGCCTAAGGTGAAACCGGAGCCCTGGGTCACCACACAAACCGTCATCTGTGTTCATCCAGATGGAGGGCTCTGCTCCAGAAAGTCCTGTGAAGGTATGGACCACGGCACTGCCCCTCTCCTTGCTCCCCATCCCCCCATTTTCCAAAACATTCACCCACTCTGAGGCAGGAGACAGCATAGGAAGAACTTGGAGACTGCAATACTGTCACAGGCCAGCATTTAGCACCCTGGTTGCCAGGAAATGCCTTTTACCAATCAGGTAGAATAAATAGTAAACTGAGGCAGGGAGGAGGAAGGAGACAAGTCTCACAAGCTAACTCAGCAGTCCTGAGCCTGGTCTGATAATATTGCCAGGTGTTCCAACATCACAAGAGACACTATATTAGCAAGAAAGAAGGGCAGTCCTTGAAATTCTATGTAGCATTTCCACTATCTGGGAAATAAAGCCTTGAAACTGCTTTCCTCCTAAGGCCTGAATGTGGGAGAGGGTCCCCGGGTTCCCAAAGAGCGAGCCCATAAAACAACTTTGGTTAATTGCCTACCTCTGGTTACTATCTGTTTTACCATGGAGTCCCTGATACTTATAAAAAGAGCCCATAAATAACTTTGGAAAGTGCCCCAATTTTAATTAACTGCCTCCTGTCAAGTATTTGTTTTACAACAAGATGAACAAATAGGGTCTGGAGCAAGACAAGGATTTGGGCCAACAGACCCGCACACATACCTAAGTTTGGGTAGTCACATTCCCCCAGGAAAGCTGGCAGTGCATGTACCTGTTAATCAGCATGTAACTTTTTCCCCTCCTATCCCACCAACTATATAAGTCCTGAGAACAAAGGACTCACTCTGTCTCCGGGGCTCAGGGGGCTCTTGGCTCTAGGGCCACAGGGCCTCTGGCCACCTGGCTCCAGGCTACCCAGGGGCTTGCCACCCTGGTCTTCAGCTGCTCTTGCTTTTGCTGCCCTGCTTTGCCCTGAAACTTTGTCTTTCACCTCCTACTCTATCCAGTCCCGTTCTCTTCCATGGGAATGGACCACTAATAAACTGATTACATACTACTAGATTTGCTGATATGTAATTCTTTACATGTGTCTGCAAGAAGAACCAGGTCTCTCCCGTCAACAACTCCTCAAGGACCTTTCAATATCCCCCTCCCCCAGTCCTCAAAGGAAGACCTTACACGTAAGGTCTCCTCCCTCTCAGAGAAAGCTGAGGCCCTCAGACAGAGAGCACCTTAACTCTCTGCCTTCTTCCATTCACTCATTCCAGAAGCATTTTTGAACACCTGTTATGTCCCAGGGTCGCTATGCTAGATGCTGGTGGTGAGATAAATAACACATTCTCTGCTTTTAGGGTGCTTTCTCTCTGGTGATGGATGCAGAAAAGTAAGGAAGACCGATCAGTCCAACTATGCCCTGTGCTGTGAGAAAACCCAAACTGAGCCCAGCTTTTCAGTAACCCCAGGCCAGATATGGGACATCTGAGGGTTGATACCAGCTCCCAGCAATTTGAATCACACCCAACACCTGAGGACCCCAGGCACAGGCCCTAGACATGGTAGAACAGAGATTAACTATTTCCGTTGGCTCTGTCCAAATCCCTGACCCAAGAACCCATAAACCTATGCCCTCACTTATGTTATTCTTTCTCCACCTGGAACACACCTCCAGCTTTCTCTGCTTGGTTAGATCTTTCTTACTCTTTAAGACTTGGTTTATGCCTTCTCTTCCCCAGAAAGCCTTCCCTAAACCCCTTTTCTCTGGGCTGTTTTAGCACACCTCTTCTTTAGCATTTTATACAAATTACTTATCTTTGTTCATCTGGAAATTATGTGTTCATCCAGTCTGGCACAAAGACACTCAACAGATGCCTATCAGCTGAAGTGAATAAATAGGCTCCACTGAGCCTGCGAGGGGTAAATATCTGTTCGTTTGTCTTTAGCGCCCTCTACCGTCCTCATAGCGCCTTTCCACACCACCCTTCAAGGGGCCCTTGTCCCAATTCACTTTCAGTATCACTCATTCGTGAGACTGAAAACTGACATTAGCTTAGAATATGGGGTAAGCTTAGACGGCCAGAGACACCTTCAAAAATATCATGTAGCCTCGGGGATTTGCTGAAGTCTAACCACTTAGAATGTGATCATAGACCAGGGATCAGAACTGAACTCTCGCCCCTGGTATTCCTGGCACTGAAGATGGGTGGGAACAGAAACTTGAGAAGCAGAATCACACTGCAGTGGACACGGGTCCTAGGGGGAGAGAGAGCAGCAGCCTCAGGGTTATAGGGATGGACAGACAGGAAGCTGCCTTTGATATCTCCCCCACCTTCCTGCTGTTTGCTCCTGCTTTGGGACTTTTGTCCCTGCATCAGCACTTTGGGGGGGGGGGTATTTAATAAGGATATAGCCCCCCACACACACACCCACACAAACATTTATACTCAAAAACACCATTCCTCTTGGCTGGAGTTTACTTGGCCAAGAGTGGACCCGAGCTGGGTCAGTCTCACCTCTGGAAATTTGGAATTAAGACAGTCTGCCTACGAGGAAAGAACTGTTTGCCACAGCGGAGGCTGGGGCAGCCAGGCTGTCCAGTGTAGACTAGAGAAGCAGCCATGCGGCCAGGGTACGACTGCTCTGCAGTCCTGGGTGCCCGTCCCCTCCTGTCTGTCCACAGGTTCCAACCAACGGCCTCCCTCTCCCCTGTGTCCTCAAAGTAACCCTCCCATTCCCTTCCTGACTCCGAGTCATCTGGGTGGCTGTCAGTGACAGTCAAAGAAGGCTAGCCAAGCGAACAGCGGTTCCCAAACCGTGCGCTGAGGCACCACCCGGCACTCGCAGGTGTGCTTTTTTGCTCTCTTCCTTGAAACAAGTTGTTGTGCTGTTTCCAGCATTTATTTCTACACGATTAATGCTCTGTGTGGGGGAGGCATGTGTGCTGACCACTAAAGAGACGAGGCAGGTTGCACAGACCATCAGGAGACCGACAGGAGGTGCTGGTGTGCAGGGGGGTTGCCAGGCACTCAGGGATGGGTGAGCAGGACTAGTCCAGGGGGTCGGCAGGGGGATCCAGGCGGGAGGAGCCGAGTGTTCCCACCACAGGTGACGTTTTGATAAGGGAGTTCATCCTATGTCCGCCAGCGGGCTGGTGGGCAAATCCAGCCCAGTGTTCGTGTTCATTGTCACTTAAAAGGCAAAGCCCTAACCATGCTGAACTCTTGGTGCGCAGCAGATTCGAATCACAGAACTTAAAATCACAGGTGAATAACATGGTGACATTTTCTGTGACCATACCGGGAGAAAAGAAATGTGGAGCTGAAAACTTCATAAATCAAAAGATTAAACTTTTATAAAATTCACTTCATATCAAGAATATGCCATGGGGGGAGTGGGAGGGAAGGCAGTTCAGCTTTATTTACGAAAAGCAGTGATAAAACAACAAAAAGCCAAAAGTAAAAAGGCATTTTTAGTTATCCTATGAGCTGAAGTTTTACATTTCTTTGTGAATTCGATGTAAAAAAGAGGACTGTCTGAGAGGCGCGGCGGGCGGGCCCTCACTCCACCTGCAGGTCCTTGCCCACCAGCATGGCCGTCACGGGGTGCATGCCGGCTCTGTGTGCTCCGTAGGTGCGGATGGCCAGGTCATGGGACTTGTCAAAGGCAGCAAGGTCCCTGCACACGAAGACAGTGAATAATGACTTGTTTGGTTGTGTTGGAAAATTTTTATGTACTTGTGAAGGGAACGAAAAGCAAGCAGATTAATCGCGGACATTTATGTCACGATTTATCTTTTTGCCAGAATTCCTGCCAAATCTATAGTCAAAATAACTTCACTGAGATAATGTTTTAATGTATGTTGCAGGCAAAATACAACTTTTTTCCTTTACAAAGCATTCCTTTAGGTCAAGCAACCTACTCTTTTACCTCGCTGCAATACCTGAATCAAAAAAAAATATTGGCTTTACCTGCTCAATCCTTTTTCAGACATTCTTCTTGTCCATGCCTACTCACCAACTTATCTTTTACTTGCTTTTAAAGATCTTTCTGTATCTACAAGATCATCTTTGGTTTATTTACTTTTCATTAGTGTCTAACCCTATTTGGCCCCTAAGAGGTCAACCATATATAATGCTTCTAAAAAAGCTAATTAAATTATCCCAAATTTTAAATATTTACAAGTCTTAATTCCTATGCAAAGATTATATCTATAATCTTTAACAAACTTAATAATGTGTGTTACTTTTAGATTGCATTTTACACAGTATTTTAGAAACAACAAAAACATCTGCTTAAGATTTTTTTCTTCCCCAGCCTTACATAAATTCAAAACATAGTTTGACTTGATTCTTACTTGAATAAGGGTCGTGTAAATTTCATCCTTCCTTGTTCAGTCACCATTTTCAGAGCCAAAGGAATTGCTTCCTCCCATTTCGATTGAATGCAGAGCCGCAACCATCTGGAAGGAGGAGTTTTAGGGGATGTGAGGCGGGAAAGGAGAAGGAAGAGGCAGGAGGTGACAGGCATACGTGAAAATAATCTTTGTGATGATGAATCACCCTGTTGTAGTTACATTGTGCACCACTTTACATTACGTCTTTATTTGGAGAATCTCAAATACCTACATATACAATATAATAATCGGAGAAGAGAAGGAAGAGGAATTTGTTCTTTGGAAAGATCATACGTTTCAAAAGGTCTGCAGTAAGGAGGTGCTCATGTACCTAATATATGAATTTCTGAAGGAATTAAACTTTGGGTCAAGCCTCACACTACCAATTTGAATTAAGGAAGACGAACCACATGAGAGTCAGAGACTTCTAACTATTTCCATTTCAGAGTCGATTTGGCTAGTTGTGGAAGAATGTCCATTTACCACTGAATCCTTAATCCTAATCTTTTTTAAAGGTGAGAGCTTAAAACAAATTCTAATAAAAAGATTAATACTATCATCTTATAGGTACTGCAACTGTTCCTTAAAAAAAAAAACACTGTAATTATTTATACAGAGGCAATAAATTTGACTAGGGTTCCTCAAGACTCATACTCTGCTTTCCCTCAATCCACCCTTGAAACTAGTTTTCTACTTTCTTCCACAGAGACAAGTTAAAATGATGTACCTGAACCGTATTTCAGAATTGTTAATGGCATTGAAGTTGTACACCTCTTGCATTCGCTTTATGTGCCCCAATGGAAGAGGTGCCTAAGAGCAAAATAAAAAAGTATCATTTCAACAGGATTCCTTGGAAGAAAGGAGCTGGGGAGAAATTCTTAGCCAGATTAAAACCCTAAATATTTTATAATAAATATAAAAGTAAGTTAGATAAAAATAAAGGAAACAAATTCACTCTAAAATAAGTTGTGTGCAAACTTATTCTGCATAAGGATGTTCTACTGGGAGCAGAAAATTTAGTTTGTGAGGTCCACAGAGAATTCAAAAAGAATTACATACCAAAAGCTCCTCGGGCTTTTTGGTATATATAAATATCAGTTTTCAGATTCTTTCCATAGTTTTTCAAGTTTTTCCTTATACTTTACATAGTTTCAATTTATTCCATTTTCCAGATTAAATCAGTTTCTTAATTTTTTTCCTCACGAATTCCCCCCAGCATTATCTTTGTATACTTCCTCTGAAACCCCTTTTAAATTACCTATGGTCCTGCCAAATAGCAGTGTTTAAACTTTTACATTACAGACCCGTCAGAATCTGATGAATAATATGGACCTTTTCTTTAGGGAAAAAAAAATACATTTACCATATAAGCACAAACTTGAACTGTATAAATACAGTTTCAGGGGGTTCATAAACCTCCCGTGCCCATCTTCACCCATGCTAACAGGGAGAACGCCTTTGGGTGGTGAAGGGCAGGGAGAGTTCAGTGTGGACAAGCAGAGTCTGAGGCGCCCGTGAAGTGCAGGCTGAAGTGCCACCAGGGCCGTGGTCATCGTCTTCTCCAGCCTCGACCTCACCTTACAAAGCTCACTAACCATCGCTGCTCCTACTGCCTGCCAGACCCTTCCCAAATCACTTAGTTTCAACTAAACTGTGAGTGCAGCCTGGAAGGCCAGCTGGTGAGGACCCCTCCTAGACCGCCCTGACTCCCTCCCAGGTTTCCCATTCCCACGGCCAAGTCGCCCCATCGCGTTCTTCCCTCCTGGTGCCTGGCCACGCAGCGGTGCCACAGGCATCCGTACTGGAAGTGGGTCTCCAAGGCCCCTGCTGCCTCACAACCCTGTTCCTCCTTTTGCATCAGTTCCACAGGAAGTTCTGTGCAAGTCTCCTCCACCCCTCTCAAGGTCCGTAGGCCCGAGAGCCCCACGCCAGGCAACAGAGCGGACCCCGTCACTTCCTCCCTCTCAAAATGCAGCGCCTCCCTTCGGTTTCACAGCTCCTTTTCATTACCTGGGCCTGGAAGCCTGAAGTCTGCTCGAACTCTTCCCTGTTAGCCCCCAAATCCAGTCCGTCACGAAACCCTACGCTTTCATCCTGTGTGAGGTCCCTCTCACCTGTCCTGTTCTTCCTCTCCCCACCAGGCCCACCCTCATGTCCTGTCCTCCCGAGAGCCCCCCCGCCTAACCTAACGTCACCACCAGCGCTCCCCGTGCCCATCCAGCCTTCACGCCACCAGCAAAGTGATTTTCATAACCACCGTTTCGTCAGGTGATTCTCATTGTGAAAAATGTTAAATCCTTGCCCTAGACGGTGTGGCTCAGTTGGCTGGAGCACTGTCTTATAAACTGATAGGTCGTGGGTTCAATTCCCGGTCAGGGCACATGTCTGGGTTGTGGGTTCATGCGGTCCCTGGTCAGGGCACACATGAGAGGCAACCAAGCAATGTTTCCCTCTCCAATTGCTGTTTCTCTCCCTCCCTCCTCCTCTTTCTAAAAAGCATCTTCTCCAGTGAGAATTAAAAATAATAATAATAAATAAATAAGGCTCTTTAAAAAAAAAGTTAAATCCTTTCCTAGAGACTAGAATAAAATCCAAAATGCTTAGCAGTCTAGACTTACACCATCAGACCCTACTAGTGCCATCTGCATTAACCCCTTCACCAGAGCTTCGCACGATCCTGCAACACTGGGTCCGCCCCTCCACTCAGGGGTCCCTCCGACCTGAATTCCTCCCGCCCTGCTGGAACCACTGCCCTGCTGGAACCACTCCGCTCCAGGCCAGCCCTGGTCCCCCCAAGGCCAGCCCTGGTCCCCCCAAATCCTTCTTTGATTACCGCAGTTGGGAGTCCTTCTTCCTAATTAAGTTTTTCTCAAATGGTAACTAAAATGTACCTCCCTGTTATTGCTAAATTTTGCATGAGTGACCTTTCTTACTAGGTTATATATTATGTATTTCTTATATATACTTTTATATTCAGCACAATGCTAAACACAGTAGGCATACAATAAATGTTTTTAAGTAAATGAATGAACTTTGTCCTTTTTTCCATTAGTTTCCACAGTAATGTTTTTTTTCCAAGTTGGGTTCGACATAAATGCTGTGCCTTATGCCCATTTTAACTTCCAATGTTTTGAGCTAGTACTTACTTTCTGAAGCATCTGTGCTAAAAATTCATTCAGCTGATGAGAAGAGAGATCTTTCAGGTCTGCTGAGTTGAATGAGTTCAAATCATCTTCTTTGGCCTAAAATAAATGTTACCTGGTTATTTCCATTCATGTACAATTTAATATTCATTGGTTCATCTGACATAAAAGTAAGCATTAAGAAAAAGGCAGAAATACAAGAATATATAAAATTATTTTTATAATTTTCATAAAATTATAAACAATAAATTTAAGCTTTAGCTACTTTAATATTTCTGAGATTGCATCCTATATCTATGACTCCTAAAATCTATATTACTTAAAAAAATCAGACTATTAATAGTAAGAGTGGGGAAATTTTTACACCCTTTATACCATTCACACTAATCTGTCTTTTATTACAGGAATCTCAGCTAATACCTCAGAGGGTACAGAAAAAATTAGTTTTCCTCCTCTATAAGAATTATCCCTAAATTTTCCATTAAAGAATTATCCAAGGCTTATACTCACTGAGGCTTCTCTGAGGGTTATGTTTCAGTGTGTACACGAAGAAGATGCTCTTTAGGAAGTCTCAGAGATGGACAATAATCCCGACAGAGCAAAAGTGCCTCAACCCTTCCCTAACGGTTAGCATTAGCAGCCGCCCAAGATCATTGTAGATTTACTTGGTATGTGTAACAGCTTATAAATGACTTATGAGGAAAACAGAAGATGCAAATATTTTTGTGTACTTTTTTCTAAGAGTTAAAAAGAATCATGAAAAATCAGAAGCAATGGTATCAACACCTACTTGTCTTTCCCCTTCAACTTTACACATTGGGAGATGATATAGCATCATGTCACTTTGGACAAACTTGACTTACAAATAGCCTTCCCAAATACAGGAGTTCATGAGTGAAGTACCCACCACCCCTGGCTGCACCACCTTCACGTGCAGAGACATATTTGTACAATTCAAACAGGAGTCAAAAGTCACACATTGTTACTCACAGTAATCCATCTTTGACTTAAGGCAATACAAGCATTTGTCAGAGTCATATCGTAACTGCAAAGATGAAAAAATATTAGAGATTAAATTTATAAAAATGAATATGCTTTTGCATACACACAATTTTGAAGTTGTAGAACATATTTAACTTTCAAAGTTATTTTTAAATAAAGATAAAGAACTCCAGAGTGCCAGGAACAGGAAATCTTCTGCCCGACTTGACTATTACTGGCGTCATCTAATAACTCGTAAATCTAAGTGCACAGCAAACGAATGGAACTCCTGGTTACTCTTTGGAGAGAATGCCAAACATCTCAGCCGGTCATAAGCTTGAGCAGTCGAAGCTGAAGGAGCTGGGCCCCCACTGAGCAGCACGGTTGGTGTTCACTGTACGGCAGGGGCAGTTCTGGGCCCTGGGGACAACAGATACACCACAGAGTCCTCGCTCTCGTGGGTCTTACATTCTGTTGTTCCAACCACCCGGCCATCGAGTAAGTCTGCGGGCACTCACATGACAGGCACGGGCCTAATCACTGGGGAAGTACTGGTGCCGCAGAAAACCCTGGGCGGACTCTGAAACCACATGGTCATTTTGTTGCTCTCTTTTTAGAAAAAAAGTAGAAATAACAAACTCCAACTATTAAACCAAGCAAGTTGCACTAAAATTTGTGTATTCTCTTCTTAGAAAACAAATCATGTTTTCCAGCAATGGAAGAGACTGTGTAATGTGTGCACAACTCTTGCAAAACACTGCAAGAATCTTCATCCATAAATGCTGTTTGCTTGCTGTGAAATGTTTCTATTAGAGAACAGAGGGGCACCTGGCCTGCGGGCCTAAATCAGGTGAGTTTCGATGAGAAGTTCCCATTGAACCTGCTTCAAGAGAGCTTGTGCTCCGAGGTAGTAACAGGGTCAAAACAGTGACCTTCTTTGAGTCCGCTCCTCATTTATCTTCATGAAACATCCACTGTGGACTTTATATAAACCCTTGGGTTGGTCCTCAAGACCAAATGGTATCATAGATCCTGGATTCGTCAGGCAGTAAATAAATCACCTTCAACTAGAATGTTATTTATTTCAAAAGGAACGACAGGAGAGTAAAAAACCTTTGGCTGGTGTGTTTCTTGGTGCCCTGAAATTTCCCTCCGCTGTAATGAAAAGAACAAGGTAGGGCTCAGCCCAAGGAGGGAAGCCACCCTTATTCCTGGTTAAGACCCTGAGAAAAGCAGTGAGCAAAACCAGGCACATGCGCCCTGCTCTCGCGGTGCTTCAATGCAGTAAAGGAGAAAGTCGTTAATGGTCACACAGATAAACGCAGAACTACGTACTACTGTGGCCACAGCCATGGAGAGGCAATACAGGGCACCAAGAAGCCCCAACATGGGAGACTTGACCTGGTTAGAGAGGCCAGAAATGCTTCCAAGAGATGCACGATGGAGTACTTCGTGCGCGGAGACTGGAATGAACTGGGTGGAGCACTCCACATGAAAGGGACAGCATTCCTGGCCAGGCCAGAACACAGAGGAGTCTGCATCCTCATGTGACTCGTGGAAAACCAGGGTTCGGGTGCCTGATTGAGGAAGGTGCTTAGTTTAAAAGGCTCTACATTGGAGGGGTTAAGACAACCAGGGTTTGAATCTCAACTACTATTTCTTACCTGCCGTGTAACCCTGGTGAGACACCTTACCTAGTTAAGCCTCATTTGCCTCCTCTGGAAATGAGAATAACTTCTAACACTGTTATAATGATTAACATAATACTTAGCATATTTTTCTTATTGCAAATGTTTTCAAGGAAAGGGCAATATCTTACTCTTCCATCTCTCACCATCCTTGCACAAAAAGGAGGCACTAAATAATTACGTGCAGTGAATTAAGCTGATTTATATTTAAATATCCTGGAAACTGTTCTTTTGACCTCAGGTTTAAGGTTCCAACACCTAAGAACTCTCCTCTCATCACTAACCAGTAACAGCTTCAGGAAGGCAGACAACGCCTTTCAGGTATTCTGAGGAGCTCTAGGACGGAGGAGGATGAGAAGGAAATCACCAACAGGGTGAGTACTGACTTGGGTTTCACGGGAGGCAGTCCTGGGGAGTAGAGCCAGGTGTTCCAGTCCACTTGATTGAGAATATCGACCTATGAGCAGTAAGAACATCCGGTTTTCTACAGAACAATGTTTTCTATTGAGGAAAAATCTAAAACAGACTTTGAGGTCCTTAAATCTATAATTTTGTCTATATGGACACATGCCAAGATAATTTCTAAGTCTCTTTTCTAAAAGAAATTTATAGTAATAGGGTTCTGTTAAATAACTAAAATCTGAAAAGCACATACAAAAAACATTTTTAAAACACTATTATGAATCTCTCTGAAATAAGGTAATTCCACACACTAGCTTGTGTTATTGAGATTATATTTTAAATAGGAAAACATACCACGAAAGATTGAGTCTTAAATTCCAGATCAGTACTACTATTAAGTAATTCAGATCGGCCTAACAAATAGCCATGAAAGATACACTGGACATGAAAAATAAGAGTTCTTAACAGCCAACCTTATCTTTAAAGTGAGAATACAGGAAATCCTTCCAGTCATCAGTGGTTATGCTCTTGTAGGAAAATTTCTCAACATAAGCCTTTAAGAATCCTAGGAAAATCTCTAAGAGTTAAAAAAAAAGACTATTAATGGATAGGCTAATTATTTAACTTTTTTTTTTTTTTTTGGTGTTTGGCATTGTACTGTTAATCAGAACGTCCAGAGAAGAGGGAAGCCAATGAGGACTGTAAGAGTGAAAGAATGTTCAAAAAAGGTGGGCCTTAAGTTGGGACGTGAAGAATGTATGCAATTTGGTGGAAGGGCGAAGAGAAATTATAGGTAAGGGATCACACAATGAAGACGCAGAAAAGGAACACACGTCTAAGAGCAATGACCCTAGTGTGACCAGGAAGGAGAAAAGGAGATCAGACAGGCCGAATGGGTTCAGATGGGGAAGGACTTTCAAAGTCCATCGGCAAAGGAGGGCACCTAAGCGCCCAGGAACAGGGCAAGTTGCACAGACTCCGCACAGCTACACGATGTAATAGCTGTGATGGCATCAAGACAGACCTGCATGTTCTGACATGGAAGGACATATGTGAAATACTGAACTGAGGAAATGCAGAGTAAGTATGTAGTACGAGTCTTTTTCTGTAATTAAAATAGTTACACACATTTATCTGCCAATTTGATCATTCACACTTAGAAAAAGATCTGGAGCCACACACGCACCAAACCGCTAACAGTGATGTTATGTCCGCGGAGTGGAAGGGGGCCGAGGGGCTCTCCCTTGGTACTCTGAGAAACTGTACCACACTCTTTTCTTTCAATGAATATATACAATTTTCCTCATTTTTAAAAAACTGAGGAGTTTTTTTTTTTAAATTCAAGCAGCACAATTTTGAATTCAGTGGTTATTCCAGGTTTTAAGTAGAGAGGCAATGATACAGACTTCTTCAGCAGCTACATACAGAAGGAAATGGAAGACTAAAAAGGAGCAAAAACAACAGTTCGACATTCTTCCTCGTTCTTCACATTAGTCAAAAAAAAATCAAATCAGAAAATGCCAATGACTTGCCTGGTCCTCCAAGAAGTTGCTCAAGGTAAAAGAGCAAAGCAAAGCCCTTTTCATAGGGGACTGACGAATACGCCACGTCCGGGTCTACGTTCGTCAGATCGACCACGAGTTTGGTGAAAGGGTGCGTATCCCCAAAAGTCTTTATCTGCAAGACACAAAATCAGATGAATGTCCACCTGTGAAGACCAGTTACCACCATGCAAACTCGCTAATGGGGAGGGCTCACTTCCACCAGGGAAAGCTAGAACACACCCAACTTGGAGACTGGAAACTGTAGGATATGTTAGCGTAAATTTCTGGAAGTTTATTAGTGGTATTTCATGCCCAATAATAAGCTTTATTGTTGTAAACGACTAGAAAAATGTTTCAATGCCTGGTTGGCAAATTCAGCTTTCAGAAATAGCCCTTAAAAGTGACATAAATACACCAAATAAAACTGAAATAGAGTAACTGACTATTTTAAGTGCGAAGACCCGATGAGGTCGTGCTGGTCAAGAACACATTCAGGGTATGGTTCAAGAGAACATTCCACCAGCATCTGCTTGATTTTCCACAACTGTAAAAATTGTCTTCTTGTTGTTACTTAGGAAAGATGCTTTTCAAACTCAAGTTTTTGAACACCTACAGAACTTTGGACGATTGCTTTTTAAAAGTATGACTCATTTACCGAATTCTGTAGTTCTCCCCATCCTCCCAGAGCGTGAAAATGTCGGAACTTTTCACCAAACAGCCGTCCACAAATGTGGCGTTCCAAGTACACAGTGTGTCCTTCATTTAACCTAAAAATATTTTTTGAAATAGAAATAAAAACAGTGACATAGCTGAGAAGAAAAGGCATTATAATCAACGCGTTATTTTCTTTTTGGCTTTTCTTCAACGTAAAGCAGTTGTACAGCATGACCAGTCCAGTCTAGTTAGGCTGCCTACGCGGCTTCCCTGCACTCAAGCCAGAACAACGGGAAGCCCGGCCAAGCAGAGGGCAACAGGGAAAATGAAGCGATGGTTCTGGTTTGATGTGTCTGTGTGTGACTTTCCCAGGAGCTAAACAACAAGCGTGAACTAAAGGCCGCCGTTCTACCTAACACTGTGACAGCGTGACAGAATCAAAACAAAGAAAATCGACCAGAGAGACGATATCAGAGAAAAACAAGATACACACACAAAACAGTTCGGAGTGGCGGGAGGCAGGAAATGAAATAAACCAACAAGAAGAACCAAAAAAGAAATAACGATAATATTTCTTACCAAAAGTGATCCCAAGTTTTGTTGGTCACTAGGTTTCCTGTCCAGCTGTGAGAGATTTCATGTGCAATGACCTAAAGGAAATAGTGGACACAGCTGTAGTGAAACTGATATCCTTATTCTAAAATAACTCAATATTAAGCATTCTAGTTCTTTCTATTCCAGTTCATTTTTTTTAACATTTAGCTAAGAGGTTCACATTATTACTCAGTTCAGTAAAAAATAATTTAGCTTATTTAAAAAATATTTGTTTAAATAGATATATCAATTCAAATGAAAAAAATAAACATATGAAGAGATAAAACTATAAAATGTTCTTAAATCTGTTAAATCCAATGGTTACTGTAATACTGTCTTACAAGAAATCTCAAGTTTTCTTTTATAACTGTATCTTCAACATAATGCAATGGGTATTTTAAATTTGATTGACTTAACACTTCATGAGGTATGAAGTATATATAAATGTTAATAAATGTTTATAAATAATAAATGTTTAACTTACATTGGAGAGTGACTTGTCACCTGCCTAAAAAAGAAGAAAATCACCTTAGTATTTCAGTAATCAAATTACGGACTATGCGTACATCTAAGGGACCGCCTGTATCTGATGTATTCTGGCATTAATTGTCCACTGTATTTCTGCTTGGCTCTCCAAAGAGCTCAGAAGAGACATGTATTAAGAAATGAAACAAACAATGCAGGACTAAAAAACAACATAATTCTTGACAATGCACAACTGAAAAAACAGCATAATTCTTTCTTTCCTAATAATCCTAGAGAATTTTTCCAACACCCTCAGTGTACTTGTCTCTAACTCCTGGGAAACATTTTTCCCACTTTGTTTTTTGTATCTGCTCTTATTTACCCTTACTTAACCTCCTTTCTCTCTATTACCCACAACACATATGTTTAAAGTTTATCGTGTCTCCTATGATCTATTTTATTTCACTTACTTCATTGCTAACCCCACTCACTTGTTCTAGGAAGGATCTGAGGCACCTCACAAGGCATGTAAAAGAGAGGCGTACACTGTGGCCTAATCCTTTCCTACCCACGGTAAGGTGAGGTCTGTTCCTTTTTAAACCAGCACCTATATGATGCCAAGTGTACATGGTGTAGCTTCTTTGTCTGGGTACAAATAATTCACCAATGGATCGTCGTTACACAGCTCCCCACCCCCTAATAATATCCCCAAACAACTTACACAAACTATTCTTTTCTCCCAAATGGCCACATTAATCATGAGATGATAACCGCAGTAAACAATAACATTAGAAACAAGGGTTATAGAAATAAAAGATTTTAAAAAATTATTAGGAGCCTAAGGTTCTTCATAGCTAGGTTTATATTTGAGGAGAACACAATTTCAAATGAAAGATATTTACACTTACCAGCAGAGTGGGAGTGACAAAAGTGAGGCAAGGGTTTTCCATGCCGCCATAAGGGAAGGATGGCGGCAGGACCAAGAGGTCGTACTGCCCCCAAACATACGGGCCTCCCAGATCTTCTGCGATTTTAAGCATAGATTCAGTCTGGAAAATTAATGCATATTCATTTGTATGTCTTCATCATTACCATAATAAATTCTTAAAAGTATGCGCTGCTTTCTATGAAGGTTATGAGTTAATGATGCTTATTTTAAATGAAAACGATGCAAAAAATGTAGCAGATGCAAAGTCACATAAAATTAGATGTATTTGATTCTTTTACCACATCACTTAACTCCTTCGCATTTTATATTCAAATGCTTAAAATGACTGTCCACCACAATTATTAAGAAGGGTGACTACATGACCAACCTCCGAAAATTCGTAAGCTGACTTTTCCACCTGCTCTTTCTCGGACCATACCAATGTTCTTGGGCCAATTTGCCTGCAAAATTAAAAAGCCTAATAAAACAGAAATTCAAGTTACCTAGTTCTAGGACAGATATTTAAAGTACTGCACACAAATCCTTAGAGTAGGAGTGTGATTTACCACGTGCTTAGGGGCGGGGCTGAGGTTCCATGTCCCCTCTGAGACACCAGCCTGCTGTTGCATATACAGCAACTGCCATGCAGCTCTATGAGGGGACACAGTCTGGGCCAAATGAAAACTGAGACCCAGTACCCCCACCGAAGGTTAGTTTACAGGCTCTGGTGAGGAGTGTGAGACCTGGTTTCCTCCCTCGGCCTCATGACTGTAGAAACCCAGTTGCAGCTCAGTGAGAGATGACTCCAGAACAGGGGTGGATGTAAGCTCGGTTATGCACTTAAAGGCTGAACACTCTTATATAAAGGAAACAAACAGAAAAGGAAGAAAGTCCTGTCATGGGCTACCACTTGGATGAACTTTGAGGACATCGTGCTAAGTGAAATAAGCCAGTTACAAAAGGACAAACACTCTATGATTCATTCCACTTAGGAGATACTTCAAGTACTCAAGTTCACAGAAACAGAAAGCAGAATGGTGGTTACTAGGGGCCTGGGGGAGCCGGAAATGGGGAGTTATTTAAAGGGTATAGAGCTTCCGTTTTGCAAGATGAAAAGACCTGGAGATTTGTTTCACCACAGTGTGAATACAGTTAATACCACCGAACCGTACACTTGAAAATGGTTAAGGTGGTAAATATCATTTTTTAAACCATAAAAAAGAGAGAAACAAATACAACTATTTTTCACTTATGCAGAGCTTGAACTAAAAAAAAACAAATTTCACTTGAACAATGATTAAAATAAAATTATAAAAAAATAAAATTATTTTAAAAATTTCATGTACTACAAAACCCTAAGCAACAAGGCTTGCCTTGGTATCCTGCCCCAGAGAGGCAGTGCACTCCAGAGCAGTGCTTCTCAAGCTTTAGTTTGCATATGAATAACCCGGGGAGATTGTTAAAATACAAATTTTGATTCAGCAGGTCTGGGACAGGGCCCAAGAGCTTGCTTTGCTCACCAACGCCCAGGTGAGGCCAAAGCTGCTGGTCTGCAGACCCCACTGGGCAGCAGCGTGAACCAGCGCTGTCCCACACAGATTTAACGAAAGCCACAAATGTAAACGACGTGTGTAATTTCAAATTGTGCAGTGGCCACATTTTTTTAAAAAAAGCATAATAAAACATAAAATTAATTTTAATATATTTTAAGCCAATCTATCCAAAATATTCTTGCAGCCTGTAATCAACATGAAAAATGATTAATGAAGTATTTTACATTTTTTTCCATACCAGGCCTTTAGAAAGCCAGTGTGTATGTGACATTTACAGCGCATCTCAAGCCTCATGTGTCGGCAGCTGGCACAGGGCTGCTGCGCAGGAGAGCGGGTGCAGGCCCGACGCCGTGGGAGTTCACAGAACCTGGGTTTGTTTGGGTCCTGGCTCTGCTGTTTCCTGGCTGTGTGACTCTAAGCCGATTACTACAACTCACCAAGCATCGGTTTCTTCATTAGTAAAATGGGAAAAAATAATCATATCTGCTATACAGAGATGTGAGAATTCGGTGGGATGATGCTTTGCAGTTGGGCCATAATAAGACCTTTATAGCTGTTAGCTGCTGTGATAGTTATTATAATCAGCTTTGGTCAGTGCCTCCCACAGGCCAGGAGCTTTACATATGTTAGGTCTGTTCATCCTCACAAACATCCTTTGAAATCCATATTATTATTTCTAACTTTTAGTTGGAAAAAAAAAATGAAGCTCAGAGAGGTGAGTGACCCAAGATGTAGCTAGTACCTGCGGACCGGGGATCAGAACCTGCGTTTTTTCCTGATGTCTCTACCACGTCCATATTTATGGCAATTTAGAGAATGTGATGACTACAGGGATGCTTATTTTCGTTATTTAGACATAAGAACAAAAAAATTCAGATGAAAGGGCACTCTGTATACTGGTAAAATTTTAGTAAAATATCTTATATTTCCCTAATATTTACAGGCTTCCAAGTGCTTTTTGCATCTATTTTACATCTCATTTGTTTCCCATATCTACCTTGTGCAGCAGCAAAGGGAGGTGTAAATTTGCTAATGAACAAGGAGGCTACGAGAAGTGACCGAGAAGTGACCTCGGTTCAAGCTCGCCGTAGGACCCAGATCTCTCAGGAAATGTGAGAGCATGCTCATTCTACACTACTTGCAAAACTTAGGCAGTCAGTGACCAGTAGAGACTTTGTAATTTAAAATTAATTTGTTACATTTTATAATTAGATTGTAATTTTTCTAGAACTGTCAGCTTGACACCTTGAAAAACACACAAACGATCTACCAATTAATCCCAAACAAATGTTCGGCATGCCGAAGGTTTGATCTCTCCATAAATCTCCAGATGCGTCCAAAAGCTCACCTGCTTTCCAAAGCTCCAACCACCAAAGCAATCAAGTAGCAGGGGATCGGGACCTAAAGTGGGCAAGCAAAACACACCACATACTCGAATTAGCATTCGCAAGTGCTGCAGAGTAAGATGATTCACATCCAAACAGTATGTACAGGTTACTTTCCTTTTGTACTTCTCAAATAATTCTCAGTTTTAAGGGATCAAATAGTTCAAAACTGTGATGTGAAACATTTCAAAACATCTATTTCCCTTTTATTCCACTAGGAGAGAAAGCTTCTGAAATGCGAGAGACATGACTGGTCATAGCAGTACAAGGTACGCTTTAAACATTTCTCAAAAATTAGCCTCGTAGAAGGCAACTGCACCTTTCTCTTAAGTTTTTTGAAATTTTGTATCTGAACCTAAAAATTTTTTTTAAAAATTAATTTTTCTAAATCACTCCCAGTGTATTTAAAAGACATACAAAATAATCCAGCAGTTAGAGGATGCTGAAGGTATGGGAGCTCGGAATCTCAGAAGCTGCAGTGGGAGCAAAATTGTCCGCTGCAGCTCAAACACATTATGTTAAGGAGGTTCTCACATTCTCACACACACACACACACACACACCCCTCATTAAAGGCCAAAGATACGAGTCAAATTACCAGCTACATAGGAATTTTAACCTAAATGACAGTAACAGAGTGCTTTTTTGGCCGACAACAGCTCTTCCACTTGTGCACACTCAACAACCACACGCCACACTCTGGCACACGGGTAGGAGAAAGGACAGCTTCACTAACTGGGACAAGGGAAAACGGGAGGTGGCCCACTCCCCAGTGTGCCTCCCCAGCAACCTCTTTCTTCAGTACAACACTGTGGAAGGAAATATTTTAAAAACACAAAGAAAAAAGAAATGAAGAAAACAAAAAACAAGCTGAAATATTTCAAAAGCAAATTTGCTCTCTGGATGGGTAAAAGCTATCTGTAGTTCAACTGCGAACTAATACAAAAATCTGGGCTGTAAGAACTTACTTTTTGGCTGAATCTGTATATTTTCCTGCTCGGGTCTTCTGGGTCAGGTGCTTCCCCATCACGAATGGCACTCATAAGTGCTACCAGTTCTTTAGGGACAGACACCTAATAGAGAAGTCATTTCCAGCGATGAGTAAAAGGTTCTGTCTTTCTTGAACTACCTATGTAAAATAACCCTTTCTCCACCTTCATGGCTAACAGACTGTGGACCTGGTAAGTTCGCAGGTATGCAGTTTGTAAAGAGAATTAGCAATATGTAAAACTGGCAACTTTAAAAGTAAACATGGAAAAAAGATCAGGAAACCTCGTAGATCACAGAGCCCATGTGTAAATTCCTCAGGGATCATCTAACCTTGACGGATTCCACCCCCGCTCCCCTCTGCCGCGAGATGTACTCCCTCAATATACCATACACTTGAATGTCTGTTTCAGGCTTCTAGTCATCTGACCTAAGAACCATATATATATATATATATGTAATTCTAAGCCACACATATTTTTATATTTTAACAATACTGAAGTTAGGATGAATCTTAAAAATCACTGTTGCCTCAGCTAAAGTTGTCATTTTCTTCACACTGAAATCAAAATATGCAGCTAATTGTGGGACAACAATGGAGCATTCTCCTGCTGCATTGCTGACATTCTTGATGGCACAGAGGACCACAGTTTTTGGACAAACAGTCATCAGTGACTGAGTTGAAAATTTGCGAAGGTCAAGAGTCACACTCTGAATGAGAAGTTTAGGAATATTTAATCTATTTATTTTCCTTTTGTATATCTGAAATGTTAAACAGTGATATGTAATAAGTTCAATCAAATAGTTCTAATAGAGCTCTTCCAATAATAAAAACGTTTATTTATTTATGTATTTTTAATAATCAGAAGTATTTTAAATGATTATAGACAAAGGTGATATTGCAGTACAGTGGGAAAGGAATGGCCTTTCAATAAATGCTCTGAATCAGTAAAAAAAAAAAAGTAAACATGAACTATCTAGCCATTCATCCATCCATACGTAGAGCATTTTGAAGAAACTAAATTAAAATCCCAGCTCTGCCACTTACTAACTGTCTGGACTTGGGCGAATAACCTCCGTGAGCCTCAGTTTCCCCACCAAATGAGGGTGACACTTTGCAGGTGGCTGCAGGGAATGAACGCTGTACATGAAGGGCCCAGCACTACGCCTGGCACTGACAGCCCCCCGTGCCCCACACACCTAGAACAGATTCAACAGGATCCTATGTTCACCTGTAGGACAGAGAATCCAGTTTTGAACATTTTTATATTTAAAAGATAAACTTGGAGTTACAAAATAGAAGAACTTTTTAAGGGTCATGATAACAGAAACTAAAAGTTACTGCCAAAAACTGTGAAATATATTTTTAAAGATTTTATTTATTTATTTTTAGAGAGAGAAGGGTGGGAGAAAGAGAGGGAAACATCAATGTGCGGTTGCTGGGGGCCATGGCCTGCAACACAGGTATGTGGCCTGACTGGGAATCGAACCTGCGACACTTTGGGTCACAGCCCGCAATACTGTGAAATATTTTTGTCTGGAAATTTGTATGGGAAAGACCCTTCTGGCACAAACCACGTGGTCACTTAAACGTCCACCCTAGCTTCATGATCCTAAAGGTTTTAATTCTGGTGAATGCCAGAATCAGGACTATCCTCTGAATACTAATGATCTAGCAAGCATCCATCCTATTAAGTAAGCATCCATCCTATTTTTCTTGCATGGTCTAGTACTTAAAGCTATTACTGCGGCAGGCACAGAATGGGAAGCTCCAGAATCAAGTGCTCCAACAACCATGGATCTTAGAACCAAAAGCATTCAGGAAATAACTAGACCACGCTCAACTTAATGAGTGAAATATCTCTAGCTATAAAAACTCAATTATTATCTCTGCTTATCATTTACACCACATTCCCCTACAGGGACCACTGAATGCAGTAAACATCTGGGATTCTTACCTCCGCACTGTACGTTAATTTCACCGAAGGAGTGTCCTGGCAAGGAAGAATTGCTCGGCAGTGGATGGCCTGGCAGGGGGAGAAAGAAAAAAAAAAACAGCTTTTTCCTTTTCTTATCAACCAAGTCACTAAAAAAATCATTACAATTGCAGTGCTGTTCTTAGATACATCGTTTTTAAAAATAAAAATACATCTCACATTTCTTGGGGTCTTTTAAAGTAGCAAAAATCAATTTGTAGATATAAAATATCTGACCTTTCCATTTTAACACATGGTCAGTGCTCACGTTTCAGGTGAAAGATGGAGCAATGTTAAGCAGTGTGTCTTACTCTGAGCTCTGAGTAACAGTAGTGCCTAGTGAGAGGCTGTTAGGAACCCTGGGGGAAAAGGGCTATTTGGTGAAATAAACCTGGGAACTGTGGCATACAACATCCCTGCTTTGGAGAGTCACTAGAAACATTTGTCTCCTGAAGGCTCTGAAAAGACCTTCAGTAAACAAACCTGTTCCGGTTCTCACACTTGCTGCAACATGAAACCCATTTTTCTCTGGTTAGTCATTAACATCTAACGGGAAGCCAGTGTTCCGAGAAACACAACTCGCCTTGATGTTTCCATCTTGTAACAAATTTTGAAAGTGAAACCTAGGGACTGAAAAGGAGGGAGAACAGTCTCTCTCAATACCCTGCGTGTCAAGTGTTTCCTGGCTTCCACACCCATCTGTCACAAGCACTGGTTCCATCCAGGAGGACGGCCAGAGCACGTACAATTTTATGTCTTAGCCTGTTGCCAAGTAAGTCTTACCTACTGCTGGTGAGCAAAGGAACCCCCGCCTCACTGACAGCCTGCTGAGCCTAAGGGGACACTGATATGTCTCTCTCTGAAGTTGTTGTAACTCCTAGGCAGACTTGATGTTACCCCAACTGCATTAAAACCAAGGAACTTCAGCCCTTTTCGCTTCAGATCCAGTCGATCCTCCAAAGATATGAGGTCCCAAATGACCTCTAGATGGGTGAGGTAGAACTAGAACAGCCACCATCTCTCTCCTAAAATGAGGTTCGAGACCACGCCCTTAGAGCTCCTCCACGGTCTCTTGGTTAGGTGACTCAGCAATGCCCAGGGGTTGTTATCTGTGTTTCACTAGAAAAGGCCACACCCAGGTCAATGTGCAGAGAACACTGTAAGCAAATTCAGCAAATGAAATCATGTCTACGTGCTTCTTACCAACCACAGTAATTTTTGAATTTAACTAACATCTCTTTCCTTTATTTCAAAAACTCTTGCCAATAAGACATAGAATAATATAGTCAAAATTCACATTCTTGTGGCTCACGAATCTTGCATTTCTTTTCAACCTTAGGTTATGGGCATTCTGCGGGAATTACTGAGCGTCGGGTATCACTAAGAGGGTGCCCCCCTTGTACATTCTTGCCTACAGTGTTCCATCTCTGCCAGAGTACTGAACCAAGGATTCCTTAGATTAAAAATACATTAAAATCGGCAATAGAAAGTAAACATGTCTAATTTATATGCCAACACTGCTTCCTTTTTTTTATGGACTTGCATTCAAATTTGAGCCTGCCATAGTATCTGTCACACAGGAATATTAAAAGGATTAAAATATGTAAAGTATCTAACAATGCTTAGAAATACAGTAAATGGTTAATGAAGTGAGTTCCTTTCATTGTCAACTATTGGATTGCTAACAGAATTAGTTTATTTTTTCCTTCAGAAGAGAGTTTGATTCTTATTATCTTTGCATTATACTACAACGCTTTATATTAAATGGTTATTCTTTGATTTTAAACAGAAGTAGTTTAAAGCATGTTGTTTTAAAGGTACATTTAATGTATACGTTTGTAAATGTGTAAGAAAACTCTAGAAAGGCTGTACACCAAACTCAATGGTGGTTACTTCTGGGTAATGGGGTCTAGACAGAATTAGGAAATCTGATCTTTCACTTTCTATTTCTTTATTGCCAGCAATGTTTGTAACCAGTACAAATTTTGTTTGATTCATGTTTTCCTTTCATTTTATGACCACTTATTGTGCACACTCTATGACAAGTTCTATGCCAGGTGCTGGGGATACAACTATAAATATGACCTAGAGCGTCAAATCTAGGTAAACATGTTTTCAAATTAAAGCAAGTTTCTTTTAAAAAGTAATACATAAACGTAGTAACAGTGAGAGACAGAAATAAAAATATGTTATTCTTACAATAGAAGATAAATTAAAATGCTGTCTTAGGGAAGGCCCATGACTCTACCCATGAGAGCTCTGTCCGCTTTGCTTCCTTCAGCTTCTCGAGCTGGGGATACTCAGTCACTCTGAACCCCCTTTACCTGGCACTGGCTGAAGAGGTACGGGTGCCTCTTCCCAGAAGTTTGTTCAGGAGTGAGCCACTGAAGAGCAGACGATTGTGGAGATGTCTCAAAAGAAATTTCTATCACGACTTCTTGATTTCTATACGAAACAAACCAATATATTAGTACAGTATCATTCAATCTCAAATTTGAATTCATAAGACAAACACTAAATAATGTTAAGTAGAATTTTATGAGGTCTTATTAATGATTGAGAGTAAGCTCTAGAAATGTCACCCCCTAGACGGGTGAGTTCGCCTCCCACATTCCTATCTGATGCGACTGTGGTCCTTTTCATCCCGCCATGCTAACTGCTCATGCAGATGGAACAGGAACTGGTATTAGTTAAACACCCCACCGTATGTCATACGCTTTGTGTGTGTGTGATACCTTGTAATCATTTGTGATAGTGGGAAAGAGGAGGAAATAATTTTGGAACTTCAACGACCACAGCAGTGGGTGCCAGAGTCTCCCTCGAAACAGTGCGTGTGTGCAGACTGTTACTGGACAAGGTGAGTCACGAAGCTGAGGATACGTCTCTCTCTGAAGTTGTGAGAAACTTTTAGAGTGATTTCTGTTTGTTGAATCTAGCAATGAAAGTATGTAGTTGTGTTTAGTTGTTTCTTCCTTGTATTTCATTTTTACTGCATTTTACAAAAGTATCAACCTATGATGGATCGGAAATAACAAACACTGATCCTCCCTCTCCCCGCCCCCAATAGTGTGAGCAGCTGATGATGGGGCGACAGCAAGACCGCACTAGAGACTGCAGCGATGCTTATGTTTTTGCCTCCTGACTCTGCCCCTTACTGGTGCTGTGAACTTGGACAAATTATTTGACCTCTCTATGCCATGGTTCCTGCACCGGTAGAAGGGGGTTAATTACATCCACCTCACAAATTATGTGTGGGGATCTCCTTTCTTTTTCTTAAATGGAAAGAGAAGGTACGAAAACGGCCACTGAAAGGTAAGGTAGATCGTCCTTCTCGGCCAATGATTTCCTACCCTTTTCATTTCTCCAATATATCAATAACTGGCAGATACTCCAAATATGACAATTCCGGCTGTCACTTTCTTGAATAAGTTACTTTATTTCTCTGAGTTTCCCTCTCCTCGTGTGTAAAATGCAGGTCATATCCCAGGGGGTTACTGTAAGGATTGGGTAAAAGATTGCAAAAGCACTGATCCTAAGACTGCTCCGTAGAAATGGTTCTATGTGTGTCATTGTTATAATTCCATGAGTAAAAGTGGCTGGCCTCTTGGGAAAAGGTGAAAAATGTGCAGCTCATAAAAGCTTCCTAGATGATCCTTAAATGCCTCCATAAGATGGCATGCTCCCACTACACATTTTACTAGATATTAGTAAAATGATGATTAAAAAAGTAAGTTATCAGAAGTCCTATTCTTGAATATTTCATACAAGGAATTTCTTTAGTATCTGAAGAACATACATCTTTCACTATAAACCTCAATCTGAATAGCAGAGCAGCAGACATAGTGCATCTGTTACTACATACACTCAAACTAAAAACAGAAAACAAAAAATGTTTAAATTAACTAAAAATATATCCCCCCAATATTTAGCTATAAAAGAGGACAACATTCATACTTGCTCAGAGCAGTAGGAAGACAGATTTCCAAAGGTGATCCTTTGTAACTTTGTCTTTCTCCAAGAGTATAATTGACTTCTTGCCCATTGATGACCACTTTTTCTATTGTGAGGTCCTTTGTATCCAAAATCTAGAATTAAATTAATATTTTAAAATGATAAGAATATAGCTTTTCTACACAGGAGAAAATGAGTATTAGAAATAGGTTAACTGCAATGATTAGAGAGTAGAACTAGCTGCTTAAGGAAAGTAAAACCCAGAGTGAAATTTCAGGAATTAAAAGAGTCAAAATGTTAGTATATGCCCCATCCTTTGGGATCCAAAGTTCCTGAAATTGTGGGGTTCCAACAGCTGCATACATATAGATAAGTAAGCCTGGAATAGTCACACAACTTTCCGGCTTTTAGTGAAAGTCAAACTTAAATTAAAATGTCTTTGCTTCTATCTCCTAAAACTTCTCTGCTATGAAAAAAGTACTCTAAGTGTCCAACCCACAGCCCCTGGGCCACATGCAGCCCAGGATGGCTATGAATGCAGCCCAACACAAAATTGTCGATTTACTTAAAACCATTTTTTGCTCATCAACTTTTGTTAGTGTTTGTACATCTAATGTGTGGCCCAAGACAAGTTGTCTTCTTCCAGTGTGGCCCAGAGATGGCAAAAGCTTGGACACCCCTGAATAACTTCAGTTTATTTCATCATGACTCAGTATATCTTACCATGCTTCTTCCTAGAATTAATACAGCCTGGCTCCTGTGCACTTCCACATATCCAAAAATTAGAACAAACCTTCACACTTGGTATGCAGAGAAACAGACTGTAATTGCTGCTGCTGTGTGTCTAGAAACAGCCCAACTAGGTACTACAACTCCAACCCAGTGACCTAGAGGACTAGAACACAGCCACCTGCCACAGCTGGCTAAGGACAACTGCTCTGGGCAGGAAGGAAGTGGCAGCAAATTGGAGTATTTTCCATCCCATAATCCCTTTTCTGAGCCCCAGACCTCATACCCTTTCATTGTCTCTCAACAAATTTCTTGTTCTAGAATCTTTAATCTTTCCATGTCACATGACTGTTTCCAAACAACCTAAGCAAGCCTCCCATACCATTTGTAAAACTTCCCTTGATCCTTCTGCTCACTCTGGCAACTAGTCATCTTTCTCGTTCCTTTCTCAAAGTCCAAGGGCAAGCTACAGCTGCTGTGTCTGCTTCCTCAACAATCTCCTCCCTTCCCCCTCTTCAATCTGGCTTTTGGCTCCTCTGCTAGTTGGTGAATGGGCAGTCGTCCTCATTGACGGGTCTTTTATGTTCAATAACCTTGACCTCTGTCTAATCACAGTCCTTATGGACCACATAATCTGTTGGAAGTCCTTTCCTTGGTTTCACTGATTTTGACCCATAAGTGGTTCTCCTACTTGTCTAATGCTTTTCCCTCCCTCTCCTTCCTAACTCCTAATTATGACCATGTCCCAATGTTCTAGCCTTGATCCTTAGGTTTTCTTACCATATTATTCACTTCCTACCTCAGTCATACCCACATCGTCAACTAATACCACTGTGCTCACTGATGACCACCATCTGTTTCTACAGTTGTACCCCCTTCTCTGGGGTCCCAGCTGGAGGCCTTTAATTATTTGCTTAACAGCTCCTTGGGAAATACTGCCTTCAAAAGCCTCCTAAAGGTTCTAAAATTAAAGCCACGACTATGTCCCCTAAATCAGCTTTCTTCCCTGATTTCTCTGTTCTTTTCTGTTCGTGGAACTCCTCAAGGTACAGGACATTTGAAACACTCAAATAATCCACAATAGATCCCACCTCCCAATCCCACATAACCAATTAACAAGTTTTTCTTTCATAGTGTTCTCATGCTTTCTTTTCTTCCCTTCTACCACCACCCTAGGTCTGGCCCTGGCCCTGCCTTAGAGCTGCTTATAGTTGGATTTCCCCACAGAAGTGGTTCCATGTCAGTCTTACTGCTTCTCCTATTCTTATTCTCTCTTTTGGTAAATTCTTTTAATTTTTTTTCTTTCTTTATAGATTTGAGAGAGAGAGAGAGAGGAAAAGGGACACACAGAGAGAAAGATCAATTTGCTGTTCCACTTATTTATGCATTCATTGGTTACCTGACCAGGGATCGAACCCACAACCTTGGTGTATTGAGATAATGCTCTAACCACCTGACACCTGAGCTAACTAGCCAGGGCCTACACTCTCTATTCTTAATCTTATACGCATGCTGTTTTAAGCAGTCTCAAGTTTTTCCTGCAACAAAGCAGGGCTTAAATAAAAAAGTGCTATGCCTCATCATGCCTCTATTTACATTTCTACCTGTTATTTGCAAGGTGCTGTAATCAAACAAACAAACAAAACACAAGGGGTTATGTGTTAAAATCAAAACCAGAAAACACCTTGATTTGATTCCCAGCTCAGCCATTTACTTAGTGAAGACTGGAGGACTCCCAGTCATAAAGATCTGTGTTTAATTCCTGTCTTCCATCTCTTACTAGTATATGAACTTGGCCAAGACACTGAAACCTCTTCTGAGCCACCAACTGAAAGAACACCTAAAAACTGAAAACTTCAATAAAAGAAACAAATGCATGACAGTTATCACAAGTGAGTACTACACTTCAGTGCAAAGAACAAAAAACTTCAAAAGGATTTTTAGGAAAGCTGGGAATTAGTCCTATTACAGCTCCTTCAGCATTCCTCAGCATCAGGGACTCCAAGAACAGGAGATGGAACAGGACTGAGGACCTCAAGCACACATGAGGTCCTCAGCCAGCATCGGCACTGGGTCTGCTCCACTGGTGATGGGGACTGACGGTGAGGTTTGATGCCACCCCACCTTCAAGATGCCATCAGCACAAATATCGGGGCAGCCATGATAAGCTTCAGTAGTGCTTTCTAACTGAACTCATCCATTATTAATTCATCCCACTTTTGAGTGTTCTTTACACGCACAGAGACATGAAATACCATCCCCACCTTTATGGACTAGAGAGTCCATAATCTAGGGGAGGAAAGAAACAACCTAACTGCGAATAAAGAAAACCAAGCTCTAGGTCTAGATTATTGTTATAAATAAGCAAATAATTATAAACAGACGTCGCCATACTACATCTAGCCTTCCTTGTATAAACTCTAACTTAACTATGATTCTAGACTTTCATTTACTCAACAGACATGCCAACCAGAAATCATAATTTAAAAACCATTTTTTTCCAGATTTGGGGAATGTAAAAACAATGGGCAGAATTTTAGATTGGGATTCTTTTCAAAATTTAGTCCTCCTGACTCTTGCTTACTCATGGAGCAGAGGTAAAGTTTTATTTTTCACAAAACAGATAGAGGACAAGGTCATAGTAAGTAGTGATATGATATCTAAATTCCACTCTTCTAATAAAAGTAGAGACTGCACTGAACCAGGACTTTAGTCCTGCCAACACTTTCTAGGAAAAGCTCTGCAATTAAAAGATAGTATTGTGCTTCAAGAAGACTCAAGTACAACCTATAAGGAAATAGTTGTCTTCCTGCTTATAATACTTTTATTTTCGTCCTTATTATACTTTTGATGACCACATACCAATACACAGAGGAGCTGACCTATTTTTCAAATCAGAATTAGTATAGCAAAATGTTAACAGACAAAGGCGAAGAAAATTATGTGCTATATTAGTTCATATAAATGAACTCAAAATACAGGCCTATTACACAAACAGGAAAGAGGCATGAAAACCACAAATTCTTACCTAAACTTACAGGGGTGTCCAACCTTTTGGCATCTCTGAGCCACACTAGAAAAAGAAAACTTGTCTTGGGCCACGCATTAAATACACAACACTAAAGAAAACTGATGAGCGGAAAAAAAAAGGCTTTAAGTAAATTTATGATTTTGTGTTGGGCCACATTCATAGCCATCCTGGGCTGCATGTGGCCAGTGGGCGGTGGGTTGGACACCCCTGCCAGATATCACCACACTACCTTATGTAAAATACAGTTTTTCTTGACCCTCTCATTTCTAAAATTCTCACCTATGAAATTCTCCAGGTGAAAGGTACAATGCAAATACTATCAGACAATTTGAGTGAGGACACTGAAAACAGGTGATGTACAGATAAAATAATTTAATAAAATTCAATAAATCTAAACAAGTGTTTCATCATTCAAGTAGCTGGAGAGCTTCTAGACGCACTTCTTCTTCTTTTGAAGAAGTACAATCATTACCTGCTCTTTGGAACCTACAACTAATATATTAAATTGAGACATCCTTAAAAAGCTTGAATGGCCCACAGGTTCTTAAATTACTAGAAGAGAATAGTGGCAAGAATCAAAGGTAGGAAGGACCCATGACCCTGGAGAAAAAGGGGTGCTTTGGGAGTTCGCAGAAACTGGAAGTATCAAAGCAAGGCAAACAGAGGGGTCTGGTGCTGGGAGTCCTAAGGGGTCTGGGAACGACTGACAGTGAGACTGAGGGAAGTATCCTGCAGACCTAAGGGTTGAAACAAAGGTGAAGGTGACTGGGAGGGAAGAGCGGGATCAGGCAATGGGAGCGTGTGAGTCTGACATCCAGATCAAAGTGTGGACTGAGAAAGGTGCCCCGGGGACTGGAAGAACTCTGGGTCCCGAGGAGGGAGTTCCGGGCTCCAAGGCGTGGAAATGGGGAGGCTACAGGGGAAATTCGGGCTGGGAACTAGGATTATGAGGGTGCGGAGATTCGTGCTAAGATGAAATCTGAGCGCTGGGTGAGGAACAGATGTGGCACCAGGATGTGCCCAGGGGCTGGAGGGAGGAGAAACTTGAGTATACGTAAAGGGTGAGGGAAGGGATGCAAACAGGAAAGTGGGGATGGGAAAGGGCGCAATAGAGGGACGGGGTGCTGAAGGAGAGGACGCTGAGAAACGAGAGGGGGCTAAGGAAGAGCACCAGGGAAGCGCGGAGCAGACGGGGGAGCGCGGGGCCGGGAAGGGGCCGCAGTGGGGTGAGGGGACGAAAGGCGGGCGGCCGGGGAGAGGCGGGCACTGGGTGCGCGTCCCACCGTACCAGGCTGCGCAGATTGTCCTCCTGGGACTGGACCCTGAGCGCGGCGGTCCCAGTCAGCGCCCGGCGAGTAAAGTCAACGCGGCAGCGCAGGTGCAGATGCTTGGTCCGGCAAACGGACTCCGGAGAGGCCAAAGAGCACGAATCCACTACCTCTGGCATGGCTCTGAGCAGTTCCGCACCCCAGCAACCAGCGGCTAGACAGCTTGACTGAGAGGGAGAGGCGAAAGGAGGGAGGTTAAGAACAGGAGGAGGAATCCGCTGCGCCTGCCGGGAAAGGCTGTTTCTTACAATGGGAGAAAAGTGAGGAATGGCATGGATGGAACTACAAGTTCCGTGATGCAGCGCAACAAGGCCTTCGCTTTGCATCCTGGGAGTGTGTTGTCGGAAAGTGCAAAGGAGCTGGAGATTGCTCCCGAATGGGGGGAGATGGAACAGGGGGGTAGTGGGAACAGACAGAAATAAGTGGAACCGGGATAGTATAAAACCGAACGCCTTCATTTCAGTTCCATTTCATCTCGGTAGAAGATGTGATAATATTAAAAGAATTTAAAACCTACTTGTACTTGTGAGTAGTAAGAGCCAGCAGAATGAAATTTAATAAGTAGTTTGTCAGAAGGCCAATTACGCGTGCATTTCCTCGTTAGTATAGTGGTGAGTATCCCCGCCTGTCACGCGGGAGACCGGGGTTCGATTCCCCGACGGGGAGGCAACAAGGTTTTTTTTTTCTTTTTAAAAAATTCACTCGCAAGCGAAAATGTTCACAAATGTCACAAAAGCTATTGTGAAAGAAATAATCCAAGTTAACGTTTATGTCTTAAGATCTGTTTTGTTGCTGGTTTGCCATGTTGGCAGTCCAATAAAAAAAGTGAGTTCAGTTCTATCAGTTCATAAAAGGTTTTTTTGTTCGTTTTGTTTTGTGTAAGTGTTGATTATGTACATTTCCAGGCTCTGGAGATCGAAAACAAAATAAACCAACATTCCCATGTTAGAAGTGTAGGAAGATTATTTCAATATGCTGTAATGAGAGAGTCCTGTAGATATGAGTGCGCACTGGACACAAGGAGAATGCAGAGCTGGGACATCTAGCTCAGCTCCCGGGAAAGGTGAGGAAGGATTGATGGATGGCGCTCGCCTTTACCATGGGACCTCAGAGTTGAAACTGGAAAAACTGGAAGAGTACAAGTCTCCAAAGACTTTAAGCAGCTGGGTCTTTAATCCTGAGTGCCTGAATGGGGTGGTACCCACTGAAGAAATTTAAGCAGAGGAGTGACATAGTCAGATTTATGTTATCAAGAGAACACTGGTAGTATTCAGAGAATGGATATGAAAGTCAAAGTCAGGACAGTTAAGAAACCATTACAATAGTCGAAGAAGAAGATGCTGGGGGCCTACCAAAAGAAATTTCATACTGGTAGTAAGGATAGAAAGGAAGGAAGGATTGGAAGGTATACTTAGAAAAATGGATTCTCAGATTGAGAAGGAGCCTCAGATGATTCTCAGATTTTTTGGTGTCCATGGCTGAATTATAGAAAGAGGACATATTTAAGTAGGAAAGATCTAAGTTTCGTTTTGGACATATGAAGTTTGATAATATATGGGGGTCAAAGTGGAGATGTCTATGAGTCACTTGGTGTGCCTATGAGTCCATAGCTCTGGGGAGGTTTGGAGTTGACATGAAAACATCACATAATGTGGTGGCTGCAACTATGACAGTGGGTAAGCTCAGCCCAAGGAGAGTGTGTAAACAGCTGTGAAAAGAGATTGGAAGCTGGGAGAACACCAGCCTGTAATAAAAAGGGGCTGGAGGATTGGAGGAATCCTTTGACAATCAAATTACCTTCAATTTTATTTGTCAGTTATACCTCAATAAAGCTGAAATTTTTAAAGGTGGGGGGAGAGGGCAGAGGGAACTAGAGTATGAGGAACTTATGAAATAAACTAGAAGGAGCCAGCCAGCAATGACAAGTGCAGCCTGGAGGGTCATTAAAATAAGGAGTAAAAAGTCTTATTTGGATTTGGCAAAGGGTTGGAGGTGGGCAGGATGGTGGTTTTGTTGACTTTTGGGGTTTAGTGGAAGGTGTGTGCCAGCAGGCAGTGGGCTGAGCGACAAAGAAAAGAGGTGAAACGGAGCATTGCCAATCAATGGACGCTCTGCCAATCAATGTGGGAGGTGGAGATAAAAGAGGAATAGAGGGGAATGTGATGTCGAGAATGTGTTTTTTTCTTTTTCTTTCTTTTTTTTAAGGAGTGGAAACTTTAACACATTGGGATGCAGAAGTGAAACGGTTCCTAAAGAAGGGAAATAGAAGATTTTTAAAAAGCACGGGGGGGGGGGTAGCTGAGGAATTGAGCACTGGTGTGTCCCATAGCTCCTCCACGTTGTACCAAACTCATCGAGCAATTACATTGGGCTCCAGCAACAGACAAAGATGCTAGACACCTGGGTATAAGGAGGATATCATTATACCCAAATGTTGAGACAAAGAAAATAAAACAAAAGCACATCCAACTATGAAACCCAGCACCTTACATCTGTATACATCTTTATTTCATAGGGCCTAAATCATGACGTGATTGATATTTGTAAACAATTTGGAGGTCAAAAAGTGCTCTGGGTGCCACCAAATAGAGGGTGACAAATATGACCAATAGAATTGCTACCACTGATCCCCAAATATAGCGTACAACATTAGCAACTCACAAACAATGGGAGCGTTATTCATATGCGATGGTGGCTTGAGAACAATTTTTTAAAAATGAAGCTCTCCATTGTTTCTATAAAATGAGCGTGATACCAGAGTGTATGTACGAGAGGAGACTTTATCAAGGATGAAAACTGACTTATATAAAGCTTTATGAAAGGAAATAGTACATATATTTGCAGGGTGATATGAACAGGAAGTATTCCAGCTCTACAGCTCACTGGAAGAGTTACTTAATCCCTCTAGACCTCAGTCCCCTCGAGATAAATGAGAAGCCTGTGCCTCGTGGGGCTGTTGAAAGACTGAAATGAGATAATGTAGGTAAAATGCTCAGCACTAAACTTGGCAAAGGGTCAGCATCTGTCACATGTTAGCTAGTGTTATTTTGGTTGACTTTTATTTTGTTTGCTTTGATCATTTTTAATACTTATTTTTCTTCTGTGTTAGCAAGAGTTTTCAGGAAGACCTAGATAAAGAGCAACAGCCAGACCTGGGAAATGAGAAGCAGCAGGTCACACTGAACTGGGCCTCTAAAGAGAGTTTACAGCTTTAGCAATGATCCTGTGTTTTCGAAATCCATTTACATTTAGGAAATTCAGGAAGTTGCCGTTGATCCATTAACACTTTCCTTAAAAGGATATACAGATTTCGTTATTTTTTTCCCCTTACTTCATTCACCCAGACCTTGCCCCTCTTCAAGGGGTTTGCAAATACTTACTAAGTGCATTCTCCTCACTGCTGCTACCCAGAATAGAGCTGGGGAAGGCTCTGTCCTACCTGTTGGATAATTCACACTCTGGCACACAGCTATACCAATGACCTAAGACAGCATGATGTTAAGATGAAGGCCAAGGCCCAAGGAGAACTATAAATGAAGTTCTAGAGAGACAAATTCTAACCCTCAAGGGGAGGTCGGGAATAATAATGCAGCATTTGAGATGGGGCTTGGAGAATGAGCAGGTCTTAATAGGAAAAATGATAGGGGCTATAGAACTGAACACGGGAATGTGAGGTGGGCAGCTTTCTAAGGAAGACATAGTAGCAGAAATCCAGGCAAGGGGCCAGAAGCAGAGATGTGTTTGGGGAAAAACAGTTCTGGGGGTACAAATTAGTCTAATGCTTCACATACTCCATAATAATCTGCCTTTCTTCTTCTTTTAAAAGATTTTATTTATTTATTTTTAGAGAGAGGGGATGGGAGGGAAAAAGAGAGGGAGAGAAACATCAACATGTGGTTGCCTCTCACACGCCCTCTACTGGGGCCCTGGTCCACAAGCCAGGCATGTGCCCGGACTGGGAATCAAGCCCATGACCCTTTGGTTTACAGGCTGATACTCAATCCACTGAGCCACACTAGCCAGGCCTGCCTTTCTTCTTTCCACTCTAGGTTATATGCATCTGGTGTGGTTGAGACCATTAGTTGTCTCCCCAATATCTACATTTCTTTTTATACTTAGTAATGAAACTCTGGATGTTTAGCCAGACACAAGACCTCCTAGAAGACTACATTTCCCAGCCTTTTTGCAGGCATGGCCATGTGACTAAGTTCTGGCCAAGGTAAGTAGGACTGTCAATTATGACTTCTAGGAAGTGTCTTTAAAAGAGACTTTTTTTCACCCTTCCTCTATTCTGTTACCTGGAATGCAGAGTTGATGGCTGGTACTCTAGCTGCCATTCTGTATCTTGAGGTTGGACCCATGTGCTGAGGGCGGTGCAGCAGCAACATATGAGGGGCTATGAGCTGGGAGTAACCACATCTCTGATGATGTTGGGACTTCCCTGTAGACTGACTAGTGCTGGATTTCTTTTTCTCAAGAGAGAAATAAACTTCTGCATTGCTTAAGACCATGCTGTTGAGGGTTTTCTGTCATTCACAGGAAACTCAGTCTTCACTAAGACCCCTGGTCTCAGTGAAAGGGGTTTATCAGTGTGGACCCAGGTACTTACTTACCCTTGCCTATCCATCTGGCACCACTCTACTGGGGGACTGTTGCAGAAGTTCGAAAAAATGTTGTTTACCAGATAGGTCTTTCTTCCCTGCATGTTGCGTTTGTTGCTAGAGCAATCTTTCTAATTTAACCACATCACCACCCTGCTCAAATCCTTTAGGGTCTCACCAGTATCTGCAGTAGGTATTCTCTACTTTTATCAGAAGATGTGGCTGCCTGTGGGTGGTTTGGCCAAGAACGTGCACCAGCTGGGCCAGGAGAGGACGCCCAGGGTGTGAGAAACCGTGAGGAGGGACAGTCAGCAGACTGGGCCCCTGTCTGGAAAGACTGGAGGCAATGTAGGCAGAGAGTCTGACAGGATAAGGCCATAGATGACTTTTTATTCATGTGTAAAAGGAGGAAAAGACTACATATGTATATATGTATGTGTGTGTGTGTACATATATATATACACACACACACACACAATTTGCTCATATCTGTGTAAAACATTTCTGGAAAAATGGTCCAGAAACTCATGGTGTGGGTTACCCCTGGGGAAGAAAAGTAGGGTGGCTAAGAAACAGGTGAGAAGTCGATATTTCAACTGAGTGACCTGTCCAGCCTTTTGAGTTTTGACATATGTGAATATAATGACCTA